TCAAACACAACGTGAATCACACACCATACTAACACAGGATACACTCAAACACAACGTGAACCACACGCCTTACTAACACAGGATACACTCAAACACAAGGTGAACCACACACCATACTAACACAGGATACACTCACACACGTGAACCACACGCCTTACTAACACAGGATACACTCACACACAACGTGAACCACACACCATACTAACACAGGATACACTCACACACAACGTGAACCACACACCTTACTAACACAGGATACACTCACACACAACGTGAACCACACGCCTTACTAACACAGGATACACTCACACACAACGTGAACCACACGCCTTACTAACACAGGATACACTCACACACAACGTGAACCACACGCCTTACTAACACAGGATCACTCACAATCAACGTGAACCACACACCATACTAACACAGGATACACTCACACACAACATGAACCACACACCTTACTAACACAGGATACACTCACACACAACGTGAACCACACACCTTACTAACACAGGATACACTCACACACAACGTGAACCACACGCCTTACTAACACAGGATCACTCACAATCAACGTGAACCACACACCATACTAACACAGGATACACTCAAACACAACGTGAATCACACGCCTTACTAACACAGGATACACTCACACATCGTGAACCACACGCCTTACTAACACAGGATGCACTCACACACAACGTGAACCACACGCCTTACTAACACAGGATACACTCACACACAACGTGAACCACACGCCTTACTAACACAGGATACACTCAAACACAACGTGAATCACACGCCTTACTAACACAGGATACACTCACACACAACATGAACCACACACCTTACTAACACAGGATACACTCACACACAACGTGAACCACACGCCTTACTAACACAGGATACACTCACACACAACGTGAACCACACGCCTTACTAACACATGATACACTCACAATCAACGTGAACCACACACCTTACTAACACAGGATACACTCACACCCAACGTGAACCACACGCCTTACTAACACAGGATACACTCACACACAACATGAACCACACACCTTACTAACACAGGATACACTCACACACAACGTGAACCACACGCCTTACTAACACAGGATACACTCACACATAACGTGAACCACACACCTTACTAACACAGGATACACTCACACATAACGTGAACCACACACCTTACTAACACAGGATACACTCACACCCAACGTGAACCACACGCCTTACTAACACAGGATACACTCACACACAACGTGAACCACACACCTTACTAACACAGGATACACTCACACACAATGTGAACCACACACCATACTAACACAGGATACACGCACACACAACGTGAACCACACACCATACTAACACAGGATACACTCACACACAACGTGAACCACACGCCTTACTAACACAGGATACACTCACACACGTGAACCACACACCATACTAACACAGGATACACTCACACACAACGTGAACCACACACCATACTAACACAGGATACACTCACACATCGTGAACCACACGCCTTACTAACACAGGATACACTCACACACAACGTGAACCACACACCTTACTAACACAGGATACACTCACACACAACGTGAACCACACGCCTTACTAACACATGATACACTCACAAACAACGTGAACCACACACCATACTAACACAGGATACACTCACACACAACGTGAACCACACACCATACTAACACAGGATACACTCACAACGTGAACCACACGCCTTACTAACACAGGATACACTCACACACAACGTGAACCACACGCCTTACTACCACAGGATACACTCAAACACAACGTGAATCACACACCATACTAACACAGGATACACTCAAACACAACGTGAACCACACACCTTACTAACACAGGATACACTCAAACACAAGGTGAACCACACACCATACTAACACAGGATACACTCACACACGTGAACCACACGCCTTACTAACACAGGATACACTCACACACAACGTGAACCACACACCATACTAACACAGGATACACTCACACACAACGTGAAACACACACCTTACTAACACAGGATACACTCACACACAACGTGAACCACACTCCTTACTAACACAGGATACACTCACACACAACGTGAACCACACGCCTTACTAACACAGGATACACTCACACACAACGTGAACCACACGCCTTACTAACACAGGATCACTCACAATCAACGTGAACCACACACCATACTAACACAGGATACACTCACACACAACGTGAACCACACACCTTACTAACACAGGATACACTCACACACAACGTGAACCACACGCCTTACTAACACAGGATACACTCACACACAACGTGAACCACACGCCTTACTAACACAGGATCACTCACAATCAACGTGAACCACACACCATACTAACACAGGATACACTCAAACACAACGTGAATCACACGCCTTACTAACACAGGATACACTCACACATCGTGAACCACACGCCTTACTAACACAGGATGCACTCACACACAACGTGAACCACACGCCTTACTAACACAGGATACACTCACACACAACGTGAACCACACGCCTTACTAACACAGGATACACTCAAACACAACGTGAATCACACGCCTTACTAACACAGGATACACTCACACACAACATGAACCACACACCTTACTAACACAGGATACACTCACACACAACGTGAACCACACGCCTTACTAACACAGGATACACTCACACACAACGTGAACCACACGCCTTACTAACACATGATACACTCACAATCAACGTGAACCACACACCATACTAACACAGGATACACTCAAACACAACGTGAATCACACGCCTTACTAACACAGGATACACTCACAACGTGAACCACACGCCTTACTAACACAGGATACACTCACACACAACGTGAACCACACGCCTTACTAACACAGGATACACTCACACACAACGTGAACCACACGCCTTACTAACACAGGATACACTCAAACACAACGTGAATCACACGCCTTACTAACACAGGATACACTCACACACAACGTGAACCACACACCATACTAACACAGGATACACTCAAACACAACGTGAATCACACGCCTTACTAACACAGGATACACTCACACACAACGTGAACCACACGCCTTACTAACACATGATACACTCACAAACAACGTGAACCACACACCATACTAACACAGGATACACTCACACACAACGTGAACCACACACCATACTAACACAGGATACACTCACAACGTGAACCACACGCCTTACTAACACAGGATACACTCACACACAACGTGAACCACACGCCTTACTACCACAGGATACACTCAAACACAACGTGAATCACACACCATACTAACACAGGATACACTCAAACACAACGTGAACCACACGCCTTACTAACACAGGATACACTCAAACACAAGGTGAACCACACACCATACTAACACAGGATACACTCACACACGTGAACCACACGCCTTACTAACACAGGATACACTCACACACAACGTGAACCACACACCATACTAACACAGGATACACTCACACACAACGTGAACCACACACCTTACTAACACAGGATACACTCACACACAACGTGAACCACACGCCTTACTAACACAGGATACACTCAAACACAACGTGAACCACACGCCTTACTAACACAGGATACACTCACACACAACGTGAACCACACGCCTTACTAACACAGGATCACTCACAATCAACGTGAACCACACACCATACTAACACAGGATACACTCACACACAACATGAACCACACACCTTACTAACACAGGATACACTCACACACAACGTGAACCACACGCCTTACTAACACAGGATACACTCACACACAACGTGAACCACACGCCTTACTAACACAGGATCACTCACAATCAACGTGAACCACACACCATACTAACACAGGATACACTCAAACACAACGTGAATCACACGCCTTACTAACACAGGATACACTCACACATCGTGAACCACACGCCTTACTAACACAGGATGCACTCACACACAACGTGAACCACACGCCTTACTAACACAGGATACACTCACACACAACGTGAACCACACGCCTTACTAACACAGGATACACTCAAACACAACGTGAATCACACGCCTTACTAACACAGGATACACTCACACACAACGTGAACCACACACCATACTAACACAGGATACACTCAAACACAACGTGAATCACACGCCTTACTAACACAGAATACACTCACACACAACGTGAACCACACGCTTTACTAACACAGGATACACTCACACACAACGTGAACCACACGCCTTACTAACACAGGATACACTCACACACAACGTGAACCACACGCCTTACTAACACAGGAAACACTCAAACACAACGTGAATCACACGCCTTACTAACACAGGATACACTCACACACAACGTGAACCACACACCATACTAACACAGGATACACTCACACACAACGTGAACCACACACCATACTAACACAGGATACACTCACACACAACGTGAACCACACACCATACTAACACAGGATGCACTCACACACAACGTGAACCACACGCCTTACTAACACAGGATACACTCACACACAACGTGAACCACACGCCTTACTAACACAGGAAACACTCAAACACAACGTGAATCACACGCCTTACTAACACAGGATACACTCACACACAACGTGAACCACACACCATACTAACACAGGATACACTCACACACAACGTGAACCACACACCATACTAACACAGGATACACTCACACACAACGTGAACCACACACCATACTAACACAGGATACACTCACACACAACGTGAACCACACACCATACTAACACAGGATGCACTCACACACAACGTGAACCACACGCCTTACTAACACAGGATACACAACGACGGTGGTGAGTCGCGCGAGCGAGTAGCGACGGTGGCGAGGTGACGACGAGCGACGAGAGACCTCGGTTACGACGAGCGACGACGCCGGCACCGTCCGGCCGGAGGAGCGAGCGGCGACGGTCGACTCGGATTCACGGAGCGCGTCCAGCTCCATCTCCTCCCCGGCTGTGCACGTTCACCAGAGAGACGCACCCGCGCGCGGCGTCAAACCCCGCCAAGTCCTGCCGGAGCATTCCCTTAAATGGGTACCCGGTATGGAGAGACAAAGGTGGCCTGGGCATAGTGCTCCGTGACACCGCGCGTGTGTCAACATGTCACTGTGTCACTGCGCTTACCACGCAGTGTCAGCGTCTGTCACTTAACCGGTAGTATCGTGGGGGGGGGGGGGGGGCGGTGTAGCGGTTAGCGCGCCGCGCAACGAACCCGCCAACCCAGGTTCGATTCCCGCTCACGGCCAACATCAGTGACGATTATCTTAACCGGCTCTTCGCCTCGAAGGAGTACCTGGTGACGTGTGTAAACGTCGCCAGTGGGGACGTGCTGGCCACCACCCACTCGTGTGCTACAGTGCCAGCCTTCGTAGGTGTTCGCAAGCAGCGCTTGCCCCAACAGTCTGCAAGGCGACACGAGGGGTCTGTGTGTTTGCGTGCACGCGAGCGTGCGTGCTCGTGGTCTTAGCGGACGCACACGGCAGCAGTTGGGAGGATCGACCCGGGGCGACGCCCCTGCAGACCCCTGCGACACTCAGGGCCACCCCTCCTGCTTCAGCGCCGCAGCCACCGCCGCCGCCGCCGCTGCCGCAGCCGCCGCAGCCGCCGCCGCCCGGCTTGAAGCGAGCCACGCACGCGCGGGCGGCGGCGAGGAGGGTCGAGACGACGACGCACGCACACACGCACATCCCAAACACCGCCACGGCGCTCTCCACCACGCCGTGTGGCGTCGACGGCGGTGCCGCTGGCGGTGCCGGCGGCGGTGACGGAGTGTCACGAGACGCTGTGCGGACAGGTGGAACGCACGGGAGCGGAAGAACACAGAGAGGGAAACAAAATCCACGTGATCGCCTCTACAGTACAGTAGTTGCATATATTTACAACAGTTGGCGTTGCTCTGCTATCCCCTTAGTGGGCCGAGTCTTCTTCGTGGGAGCAGTAAAATGTTATCACTGAGCACGCTCATTGATCGGTCGATCGTTTGTCTTTGTTCTAAATCGAAGGAGTATTTTCTTCACTTTACTTACATTCGTAGTTTTTGGATTATCTGCGATTTTCCATTTTCCGCGACCGTCTTCCCCGTCATTAGCACGGATTATAATCGAGAGTCTACTCTATGTGGAACTTCTTTCGCACCGTACGTAGCCAACCGCATTAATCGGAGGTCACTATGATGACCCCGATGGTGACGCCACCGCCCCCGAGGCCACATATCTTCACTCACCGGCGCGATCGTTCACTGCGGGGCTCATCCTCCTCCCTTCGTTCTCATCACCGACTCCGCCGCCGCCGCCGCGATCGCGGCACTCCAGCAGCGAGCACGGGGAGCTCTCGCGCTCCGACCACGGCGCATCCGGCTCTCCTCCGCAGGTCGCCGCAGCTCCCCGCGACCCTGCCAGGGCGGCCGCCCCTTCCGTCGCCCCCTGCGCCGCGGTCGCCGCCGCCGCGGCGACGACGACGGCCGTGGCGGCGCACGTCCGGCGGCGCTCTCGCGTGCCCTCCCCGCACGAGGCCGAGCAGGGAGACCACGGCGACCAGGGACCCCAGAGCCCCCCCTCGAGGGGACCGGCGGCGGCGGCGGGCGCTGTGATTGGGTGGGAGAGAAGACGCGGGCGTTTTGGATAGAGCACGAGCCGGGGCCGCGCCTTTACATCGGATTGTCTCTCTCGCACGCACGCAGCAAAGAAAAAAATCCCCCGTATAGCCTTTGACAAACCGTTGGGGCAAGTGCTTTTGCAGAGCACCGACGAAGGCCGGCATGGCACACCGATGAGTGAGTGGGTGGCGAACACCATGCCTGGCCACACTTTTCTTCCCAGGGCAGATATTTACACACCCCATCAAGTACTCATTTAAGGCTGCGTTGACCTAGGGGAGCCCTAGGACTGGTGCAGATATTTGTCACTGTTATTGGCCATGGGCGGGAATGGAACTCGGGTCACCGGGTTCAAAGTGCAGTGCGCTAGCCACTGCACTACCACTCTCCATATTTTGGAACACAAGAGACAAAGATCCCCGGCATAGCCTGAGCAGACTGTAGGGGTAAGTGCTGTTAGCGAGCACCTATGTAGGCCGGAACGGTACACGAGGGGGTGGGTCTCCCCAGGGGGGATGTTTCCACACGCACTCAATCACACACTCACTGCCATTTGCCGGGAGATGCAATGAGGCCTGCACACACTTGGTGGCCCTCACATCTCCTCCTCCATCTCCTCCTCCATCTCCTCCACCTCCTCCTTCCCCTCTTCCTCCATCGTCTCCCACCTCCGACGCGATTGCCCGGAAGCAGTAGAAGGTGGACGCAGCCTCGGCGGCGAACAGCGAGCAGTCAAACTCGGCCTCCCAGCTGCCCCCTCTCATCTCCTGCTCTGCCAACAACACCTCCTCAGCCACCCCGTTCTCATCATCATCGTCATCGCTCGCGCCACCTCGTCGCCCAAAGGGCAACGTCCTTGCAAACGCCGTCACCCTCCCGCGTGCCGGCGGCCGACACGGCTCGGGCTCAAGCGCCGCCACGACCGTCCCTTCGCACCACCGCGGGCGGTGCCGGCGAGCGCCGCCGTCGCGCGGGGGGCGCCGGCTGAGGCCCAGCGCGTGGCCGCGCCGGGTTCGGTTCACCTCGACGACGCCGCTGGCGGCCAGGACGCCGTCGCCGCGGGCGAGCAGCAGCGCGCGCGCGCGGCCCGACCGGGGGAAGGGCGGGCACGCGAAGCTCACGTTCGCCGAGCGCCGCCGGTGCGGCGGCGGCGGCGGCAACGGCTCGGACGCCACGACGGCGCCGGAGCCGAACGCCAGATCCACGCGCAGCCCCGGCGGGAGGGGGCCGTCGGACGAGACGACGGTCACGACGAGGGTGCCGCCGCCTCCGTCGTCGGCAAAATGCGACGGCGCCCACAAGGAAATCGTAGACCGCGGCGGCGGCGGCGACGGCGACGGCGGCGGCGGCGACGACGGCGGCGGCGGCGACGGTGGCGACACCGGACGGTCGGCGGGTTCCCATGCGGCAGCTGGGCCGTAGGTGCGAGCGGCCAAGGAGGACGAGAACGTAGGGCTGGTTGCCGCTCCGGCCGTCGGTGTTGCCGGTGATGCTCTGCCGAGCGGTGACAGCGTGCCGGTGAGCAAGCCGTCACGTGCACTTGTAGAAAGGGCCTCCTGCGTTCCGCTTGCCGGCTGCTTAATATCCGGGGGTCGAGCGGAAGTCCCGGCAGATGTCCCGCCAGATGTCATACTGGGCGAGGTGTCTGTTGATCTGCCAGATATGATGGGCGATGTTCCAGCAGGTGGATAACCGGACGTTCTAGGAGGCGGTATATCCGTCGGTCTGCCAGATATCGTGCTCGGAGTCCCAGATGAGACGTGTGGTGTTCCACGAGATAAATGCAATATTCCACCAGATGGCAAACCAGAAGTTCTACTGGTTGCATCTTGCATTCCACCAGATGTTCCACCAAATGCAGCACTTCCCGGCATAACAGACGTACCCAACGGAAAACGAGACGTCACGCCGGACGGGACATCCGGTGTCTCGCTCGATACGCTCCCCAATAGTCCGCCAGTCTTACCATCGGACGTTCCGTCAGACGGCGTATTCGACGGTCCACCAGATGAGCCGTCTAAGATTCTAACGGACGGGGTACTGGAAGTGCAGCCGAGCGTGACACCGGGTATCTCGCCAGCTGGAGCGTCCGGCGGCCTACCGGATATTCCGTCCGTTATCCAACCGGGTGGAAAGCCAGCTGGCGCACCGGATGGGACGTCGTTAGATGTCCAACCGGATGGGGCGCCCGGCGTCGTAACGGACGGGCCGGGAGACGGCGCGGCGTCGAGGGGGGACGCGCGTGAGGCCGGCGGCGACGTCGTCAGCGTCAGATGGCGCCCTCCTGCGGCGTGCGACGAGGTCATGCACGCTTGCGCACGCACGGCGGACAGACGGACAGACGGACAGGGCGTTGTGTTGAACTACGGTCACCAAGGGGTGTCACGCGCAACGGATCTGCCGAACGAAAGTTTTTGAGCGGCAGGGTGGCTCGGTGGTGACGCTCGCGTCTCACGGCAAAGAAGAGCACCTGGGTTAAACTCCCGACTAGGGCGCCTTTCCGCGTGGAGTTTCTACGTCCTCCCCCTGTTCTGCGCGAGTTTCCTCTGGGTGTTCCACTTTTGTGCCCATAGCTAAACACATCCCAATGCCAAACATTTTTTTTAATTTACATGAAAATTACTCAATTGGGAATAAACATAACAACATCTCCCCCCTACGGCGCGAGAGTGTGTTTAATGAGCGTGCGCAACCTGCTGTGGATGGCTTGGGGAGTCTTTTTATCCAAAGGTAGTCGTAGTAGCAGTCGTAATAATATTATCGTCAACAGAGAAACGGGGAGGGAACAAACCTGCTGCTAGACACCAGAAGAGAAGGGCCTGAGCCGTGTCGATCGGCAACATGATGCACGCCATGTTCGAGCCTGCAGGACGCACACAAGTCATTCGCCTATGCTCAGTCCACTGCTAGGGTCCGGGTTCTTGTCCGATTCTTAAATAAGTGACATCTCTTTTGATTTAAAACTTTCGTGACTGCAGGGATTCATATTCTTGGTTCTTTTGGTAAAGTCACGTAGAAAGGAAACAATAAAATAATAAAAATATAAAACAATACAATTCTCACGACGTTTCGACTGAAACACAAGCAATCATCATCAGGTGTGAAAACCGCAGCAACAAAATTTGAAAAAAGTGGCGTTTTTTTTTTACGTTAGCACCACGCACAGAGATTTGGCAGTTATTCAGATGGACGAGTCCATCCACCTCGGCCGTGGCAGATCACTGTTATAATTCAGTAGGCTCACATGACATTGCCTTCTCCAAGACAGAGGTTCTTTGCAAGCCATCTGGCTACCATGAGAGATTCGTTCATGAGGCTATCCACATATACAAACACAGAGACAATTTCAACCGAGAAGATGGATTCTGGCTTAGCAATCATTGGAAGGATTTGATAAACCATTCTGTGTCTTAATTGATTGTTCACGCTTACGGTGGCTTTCAGACCGCATCCATTATTTTCGTCTCCCCCATCCTCTTTTCCGAACATAGATGGACTCGTCCATCTGAATGACTGCCAAATCGCTCTCCTTGGTGCTAACGTAAAAAAACCCGCCACTTTTTTCAAATTTTCTTGCCGTGGTTTTCACACCTGATGATGATTGCTTGTGTTGCAGTCGAAACGTCGTGAGAATTGTATTGTTTTATATATTTTTATTACTTTATTGTTTCCCTTCTACGTGACTTTACCGAAAGAACCAAGAATAAGTGACATCTCGATGGATCTTGTGAGGTCAAAGAGTCATTCAAGATCAGCAGACCAAGTCACCATAACTCCCCAAAGAGACGAAGACAAAGATCCACTGTGAAACCCACGCAGCCCGTTGGGCAAGTGTCATGGGCAAGTGTCATGGGCAAGTGTCATGGGCAAGTGTCGTTAGCGAGCACCTGCTGAGGACGGCACGGAGTACAAAGAGAGGGGTGGGGTGGCCCGCACCACGCATGGCCGTCTTTGTCTCCCCGCGCGGTGGTGTTTACACACCAACACTGGGCACTCGTTGAGCGCTGAGTCAACCAAAGTAAAGCCCAGGACTGGCTCGGACTCAACTCGCAAGTGACGTTAGCCGTGGCCGGGAATCGAACTCGGGTTTGCCAGATTCCGAGCGCAGCACGCTAACCACTGCACCCACCGCTCCTCAGCACACAAACACTCAGCCAATCTCTCGTACCCACACAATGACCACACATCGTCAAGCACATCAGATACGCCGACAGGCCAATGCACACATCCCCTTCATGGATCGCAGAGTAAACCCACAGAGACACATGGAGCTCCACAAAGACACATGGAGCTCCACAGAGACACATGGAGCTCCACAGAGATACATGGAGCTCCACAGAGACACATGGAGCTCCACAGAGATACATGGAGCTCCACAGAGATACATGGAGCTCCACAGAGATACATGGAGCTCCACAAAGACACATGGAGTTCCACAGAGATACATGGAGCTCCACAGAGATGCATGAAGCTCCACAGAAATACATGGAGCTCCACAGAGATACATGGAGCTCCACAGAGATACATGGAGCTCTACAGAGATACATGGAGCTCCACAGAGACATATGGAGCTCCACAGAGATACATGGAGCTCCACAGAGATACATGGAGCTCCACAGAGATACATGGAGACCCATAGAGATGCACAGAGACCCATAGAGATGCACAGAGACCCATCGACATTAAAGGCACAAACCACAGCAGTGCGATATTGGCCGTGCAACCCAAACTATGGACCGTGTAGTAAACCACTGCGGTCTGCGCTCATTCAGCGGAGGAGGGATAACAAAACTACACAGACTCTCTCCTGAAGCCTTCTCGTCGTGGCCAATAGACCTTGACATTTGGCATCTAACTCATATTGACATTCGCAAGAATACAACCACACATGCACACCAACCCTCTCTCTTACACTCACCCTCTTTCTCACACCCACACCATACTCACCCTCTCTCTCACACCACACACACACACACACCCACTCGCCCATTCTCTCTCACACGACACACACACGCTCTCTCTCACATATACATTCACGCTCTTTCTCACACTCACCCCTCTCTCGCACCCACATGCACACGCACACTTACACTCACACTCACCTTCTGTTTCACGCCCACGCCACACACAAATTCACCCTCGCTCGCACCCACACGCACAAACTCACCCTCGCTCGCACCCACACGCACAAACTCACCCTCGCTCGCACCCACACGCACAAACTCACCCTCGCTCGCACCCACACGCACAAACTCACCCTCGCTCGCTCGCTCGCACCCACACGCACAAACTCACCCTCGCTCGCTCGCACCCACACGCACAAACTCACCCTCGCTCGCACCCACACGCACAAACTCACCCTCGCTCGCACCCACACGCACAAACTCACCGCAATCCCATGCTGCCTCTACACGTCCCAACTCAAACTTCAGTCGCGCGAGTGGAGATTCGGCGCCCACCGCCGCCACCTCCTAGAACTCATCCACCCCGTGGCCCGCGGGCCATTGTGAACCTGTGCCAAGCAGGGAGAGAGACAGGCATAGCTCTGAGCCTGGGCACGTCTCCTCGGAGGCGGCTCAATGGACCCGCGACGTCGCGTGGGGCAGCTCTGAAAGCGGCTGGCACGGACGGGCAGGGAATTCCGCTTCCTTTTGCTTCTCTTTGTTCCCTCGCTCTCCTTTATTTGGCCGTTTATGCCGAGCGAGGTTCGCGTACGAGACAGAGTGCGCGCGTGCGTGCTGGTGTGTGCGCGCGTGCGTGCTGGTGCGTGTGTGCTGGTGCGTGTGTGCGTGCATGCTGGTGCGTGCGTGCTGGTGCGTGCGTGCTGGTGTGTGCGTGCGTGCTGGTGCGTGCGTGCTGGTGTGTGCGTGTGTGTGTGCTGGTGTGTGCGTGCTGGTGTGTGCGTGCGTGCTGGTGCGTGCGTGCTGGTGTGTGCGTGTGTGCTGATGTGTGTGTGCTGGTGCATACGTGCTGGTGTGTGCGTGCTGGTGTGTGGGCGCTGGTGTGTGCGTGCGTGCTGGTGTGTGTGTGCTGGTGTGTGCGTGCTGGTGTGTGTGTGCTGGTGTGTGCGTGATGGTGTGTGCGTGTGTGCTGGTGTGTGCGTGCTGGTGTGTGCGTGCTGGTGTGTGCGTGCGTGCTGGTGCGTGTGTGCTGGTGTGTGCGTGTGTGCTGATGCGTGTTTGCGTGCTGGTGCGCGCGTGCGAATGAATGCGTGTGGCTGTACGTGTCTGTGCATACGTGAGCGTTGTGAAGTGTGTGTGTGTCTGCACGAGTGTCTGTGTACGAGTCTGTGTCTTTGTGAGCGTGCTCGTGTTGTGGGGAAGGGGGGGGTGCAGCGGTTAGCGCGCCGCGCTTCGAACTCGTCCATCCGCGTTGGATTCCCACTCACAGCCAACGTCAGTGAGGATTATCTGAACCGGTCCTGGGCCTCCCCTTGGTTGACTCAGCCTCAAATTAATACATGGTGCGGTGTGTCGTAAAACATCGCCCCTGGGGAGACAAAGGCGGTCGAGCGTGGAGCTGGCCACCCAACCCCCTTCATAGGTGCTACTTGCTGTATAGGGGGACTTTGTCTTTGTGCGTGTGCTTGTCACTTTAACACGTAGCAAGCTTTCACGATACAAATTATTCATAATAAAGGTTTATGGGTTAGATTGTGTAAGTAAAAGTGCGCTTGTGTGTTGGGGAGTGGGGAGCAGAGGGGCAGTGATTAGCACACTGCACTCAATATCTACGCTTGTTTCTCACGGGATACAAAGACAAAGATCCCCATATAGCCTTAACAGATTGTTGTGGCGAACGCTGTTAGCAAACACCTATGAAGGCCAACACGGCACATGAGCGGGTGGTGGTGTGTTTAGCACCAGATCCGGCCGCCTTTGTCTCTCTAGAGGTGGTGTTTACACACGGCACCAGATACAGTAGTAAATTAGGGCTGAGTCATCCTAGGGGATGGCCCTGATCGGTTCACGAATTCATCACCGATGTTGACCTTGAGCAGAAATTGAACGCGAGTGGGCGGGTTCGCAGCAAAGTGCGCGAATCAGTGCGCTACCACTCCCCAACAAGATTTCCCCACACAAACATAGACACGAAGGGGCACACAAGACAAAGAGCCCCCCGTATAGCCTTAACAGACTGTAGGGGCAAGCGCTGTTAGCAAATACCTACGAAGGTGCACCTACACGCACACAGAAGCACACAGACACTTACATGAACTCACTTACACACACACAGAAGCACACAGACACTTACATGAAGCCACCTGCATGCACACAGAAGCACACAGACACTTACATGAAGCCACCTACACGCACACAGAAGCACACAGACACTTACATGAAGCCACCTGCATGCACACAGAAGCACACAGACACTTACATGAAGCCACCTACACGCACACAGAAGCACACACACACTTACATGAAGCCACCTGCACGCACACAGGAGCACACAGACACTTACATGAAGCCACCTGCACGCACACAGAAGCACACAGACACTTACATGAAGCCACCTACACGCACACAGAAGCACACAGACACTTACATGAAGCCACCTGCACGCACACAGAAGCACACAGACACTTACATGAAGCCACCTACACGCACACAGAAGCACACAGACACTTACATGAAGCCACCTGCATGCACATAGAAGCACACAGACACTTACATGAAGCCACCTGCACGCACACAGAAGCACACAGACACTTACATGAAGCCACCTACACGCACACAGAAGCACACAGACACTTACATGAAGCCACCTGCACGCACACAGAAGCACACAGACACTTACATGAAGCCACTGCGCACCGACTCGCCGCCACTCGCTCTCTCCGGCGATGGGCGGCCTGGCTGGGTGGGGTGGGGAGCAGCCACGACGCATCCTGCCCCGGCGCCCCCAACTCGGGAACTTGGGGGTGGAACTCGGGGGTGGAACTCGGGGGTGGAACTTGGGACCTCCGCCCCCCGAGCTCTCTTCCCGACAGAACTGTTTGTCGCTCGCCATCCCCCTGCGCGCCCAGAGAGACACAGCCAGACAACACACGTGGTCAGCAGCTTGGTCAAGTTCACCGTCGTCGTCATTGGTCATCGATCATCACTACGTTGTCATCGTGTCCCGTGTTGAGGACTCAGTCTCGCTGATCGACTGCGCCGCGTCATCCACACCGCAGGTCACAGCAACACACCAACTCACCCGCTCACCCACCCACCCACTCATCCAACCATCACACTGCAGGTCACAGCAACACACCAACTCACCCGCTCACCCACCCACCCACCCACTCATCCAACCATCACACTGCAGGTCACAGCAACACACCAACTCACCCGCTCACCGACCCACCCACCCACTCATCCAACCATCACACTGCAGGTCACAGCATACACCAACTCACCCGCTCACCCACCCACCCACTCATCCAACCATCACACTGCAGGTCACAGCAACACACCAACTCACCCGCTCACCCACCCACCCACTCATCCAACCATCACACTGCAGGTCACAGCAACACACCAACTCACCCGCTCACCCACTCACTCATCCAACCATCACACTGCAGGTCACAGCGACACACCAACTCACCCGCTCACCCACCTACCCACTAATCCAACCATCACACTGCAGGTCACTGCAACACACCAACTCACCCGCTCACCTACCCACCCACTCATCCAACCATCACACTGCAGGTCACAACAACACACCAACTCACCCGCTCACCCACCCACCCACTCATCCAACCATCACACTGCAGGTCACAGCAACACACCAACTCACTTGCTCACCCACCCACTCATCCAACCATCACACTGCAGGTCACAGCAACACACCAACTCACCCGCTCACCCACCCACCCACTCATCCAACCATCACACTGTAGGTCACAGCAATACACCAACTCACCCGCTCACTCACCCACCCACTCACCCAACCATCACACTGCAGGTCACTGCAACACACCAACTCACCCGCTCACCCACCCACCCACTCATCCAACCATCACACTGCAGGTCACAGCAACACACCAACTCACCCGCTCACCCACCCACTCATCCAACCATCACACTGCAGGTCACAGCAACACACCAACTCACCCGCTCACCCACCCACCCACTCATCCAACCATCACACTGTAGGTCACAGCAATACACCAACTCACCCGCTCACTCACCCACCCACTCATCCAACCATCACACTGCAGGTCACTGCAACACACCAACTCACCCGCTCACCCACCCACCCACTTATCCAACCATCATACTGCAGGTCACAGCAACACACCAACTCTCCGGCTCACCCACCCACCCACTCATCCAACCATCACACTGCAGGTCACAGCAACACACCAACTCACCCGCTCACCAACCCACCCAGTCATCCAACCATCACACTGCAGGTCACAGCAACACACCAACTCACCCGCTCACCCACCCACCCACTCATCCAACCATCACACTGTAGGTCACAGCAATACACCAACTCACCCGCTCACTCACCCACCCACTCATCCAACCATCACACTGCAGGTCACTGCAACACACCAACTCACCCGCTCACCCACCCACCCACTCATCCAACCATCACACTGCAGGTCACAGCAACACACCAACTCACCCGCTCACCCACCCACTCATCCAACCATCACACTGCAGGTCACAGCAACACATCAACTCACCCGCTCACTCACCCACCCACCCACTCATCCAACCATCACACTGCAGGTCACAGCAATACATCAACTCACCCGCTCACCCACCCACCCACTCATCCAACCATCACACTGCAGGTCACAGCAACACACCAACTCACCCGCTCACCCACCCACTCATCCAACCATCACACTGCAGGTCACAGCAACACACCAACTCACCCGCTCACTCACCCACCCACTCATCCAACCATCACACTGCAGGTCACAGCAACACACCAACTCACCCGCTCACCCACCCACCCACTCATCCAACCATCTCACTGCAGGTCACAGCAACACACCAACTCACCCACTCACTCACCCACCCACTCATCCAACCATCACACTGCAGGTCACAGCAAAACACCAAATCACCCGCTCTCCCACCACCCACTCATCCAACCATCACACTGCAGGTTACATCACACTAACTCACCTGCTAACTTAACCACTCAACCACTCACCAACCCACTCACTCTCCACACTGCAGGTCACAACACACTAACTCACCTACTCACTCAACCACTCACCAACCCACTCACTCACTCTCCACACTGCAGGTCACAACACACTAACTCACCCACTCACTCAACCACTCACCAACCCACTCACTCACTCTCCACACTGCAGGTCACAACACACTAACTCACCTACTCACTCAACCACTCAACCACTCACAAACCCACCCACTAACTCTCCACACTGCAGGTCACAACACACTAACTCACCCACTCACCAACCCACCCACTAACTCTCCACACTGCAGGTCACAACACACTAACTCACCTACTCACTCAACCACTCACCAACCCACTCACTCACTCTCCACACTGCAGGTCACAACACACTAACTCAACCACTCACTCAAGCACTCACCAACCCACTCACTCACTCTCCACACTGCAGGTCACAACACACTAACTCACCCACTCACTCAACCACTCAACCACTCACCAACCCACTCACTCACTCTCCACACTGCAGGTCACAACACACTAACTCACCCACTCACTCAACCACTCACCAACCCACCCACTAACTCTCCACACTGCAGGTCACAACACACTAACTCACCCACTCACTCAACCACTCACCAACCCACTCACTCTCCACACTGCAGGTCACAACACACTAACTCACCTACTCACTCAACCACTCACCAACCCACTCACTCTCCACACTGTAGGTCACACCACACTAACTCACCTTCTCACTCAACCACTCAACCACTCACCAACCCACTCACTCTCCACACTGCAGGTCACAACACACTAACTCACCCACTCAGTCAACCACTCACCAACCCACTCACTCTCCACACTGCAGGTCACAACACACTAACTCACCCACTCACTCAACCACTCACCAACCCACCCACTAACTCTCTACACTGCAGGTCACAACACACTAACTCACCTACTCACTCAACCACTCACCAACCCACTCACTCTCCACACTGTAGGTCACACCACACTAACTCACCTACTCACTCAACCACTCAACCACTCACCAACCCACTCACTCTCCACACTGCAGGTCACATCACACTAACTCACCCACCCACTCACCTACTCACTCAACCACTCACCAACCCACCCACCAACCCACTCACCAACCCACTCACTCACTCTCCACACTGCAGGTCATAACACACTAACTCACCTACTCACTCAACCACTCACCAACCCACTCACCAACCCACTCACTCAACCACTCACCAACCCACTCACCAACTCACTCACCAACTCACTCACCAACCCACTCACTCTCCACACTGCAGGTCACACCACACTAACTCACCCACTCAGTCAACCACTCACCAACCCACTCACTAACTATCCACACTGCAGGTCACAACACACTAACTCACCCACTCACTCAACCACTCACCAACCCACCCACTAACTCTCTACACTGCAGGTCACAACACACTAACTCACCTACTCACTTAACCACTCACAAACCCACTCATTCACTCTCCACACTGCAGGTCACACCACACTAACTCACCTACTCACTCAACCACTCACCAACCCACTCACTCTCCACACTGTAGGTCACACCACACTAACTCACCTACTCACTCAACCACTCAACCACTCACCAACCCACTCACTCTCCACACTGCAGGTCACATCACACTAACTCACCCACTCACCTACTCACTCAACCACTCACCAACCCACCCACCAACCCACTCACCAACCCACTCACTCACTCTCCACACTGCAGGTCATAACACACTAACTCACCTACTCGCTCAACCACTCACCAACCCACTCACCAACCCACTCACTCAACCACTCACCAACCCACTCACCAACTCACTCACCAACTCACTCACCAACCCACTCACTCTCCCCACTGCAGGTCACATCACACCGACTCACCCACTCACCTACTCACTCAACCACTCACCAACCCACTCACCAACTCACTCACCAACCCACTCACCAACCCACTCACTCACTCTCCACACTGCAGGTCATAACACACTAACTCACCTACTCACTCAACCACTCACCAACCCACTCACCAACCCACTCACCAACCCACTCACCAACTCACTCACCAACCCACTCACTCTCCACACTGCAGGTCACAACCTTCTACCTCTTCTCTCGCACGGCTCCATTTTGGAATCCCCTCCCACCGTCTATTTTACTCCCAAGCTGAGAAGAATAATAACCTCGCTCAATCTAAAAAAAGAATGCAACTCGTACTCATCACAACTTTTAAAGTGCTGTTTGTTGATAGCCACTCGACACTTTGGGCGTTTACTCAGCAGCTGCGACCCCCACAACCCTTATTAGTATCTGTATGAGCCAGTCTATCCACTGCTGGATGACGACCTCCCCACCCTATCACGACATCCCTCACGGTTCTGAAATGCCACAAGCCACCTCCCTGCTGCATAAGTGCACATCTAATTGCTCCAGCTCATTCACCAAAAAAATTAATTTTCACATATTTCGGTTTATTAAACGTAATTTTGCTAAATTCTATGTTGCTCAGTGCTGAATGATACATCTGTACCAGATGGATGTTTGTCTGGTATAACCGTGAAAAACTCCTCAAACTAGGTGGGCAAAAACAAGTCAAATAGTGTTGGGGCCAGATGACATCCCTACCGCTCCAAGGTGAACAGGAAATGGCTCCTACCCACTATCATGAAGTCTCCTTACTGAATGTGAGCAATGGGTCAGGGACTCTGAAAGCACCAAGGACAACCCAGAGTCCTGGCACACAAAGACACACAGATACCGCCAGATCGGTGCAGTGAGACACCGACTGATCGACACACTTTGAGATAGGTGCAGTGACACACCGACACAATGTAAGCGAGGTGGGTGCACACTGACGCACTGACACACGCCGACACTGCGAGATAGGTGCAGTGATACAAAAACAAAGATCCCCCGTATGGCCTTAACAGACCGTTGGGGCAAGTGCTGTTAGCGAGCACCTGTGAAGGCCAGTACGGCACACGAGGGGGTGGGTGGTCAACACCATGCCCGGCCGCCTTTGTCTTCCGAGTAGCGATGTTTTACACACCGCACCAGATACTCATTTGAGGCTGAGTCAACCTAGAGGAGGCCCAGGAGAGGGTTGAGATAATCGTCACCGGTGTTGGCCGTGAGCGGGAATTGAACTTGGGTCCCTGGGTTCGTAGCGCAGCGCGCTAACCGCTACACGACCACCCCCCACACAGCGACAGTGACACACAGACACACACTGTAAGCGAGGTGGGTTCACACTGACACACGCTGACACAGTGACACACAGACACACACTGTAAGCGAGGTGGGTTCACACTGACACACGCTGACACAGTGACACACAGACACACACTGTAAGCGAGGTGGGTTCACAGTGACACACGCTGACACAGTGACACACAGACACACACTGTAAGCGAGGTGGGTTCACACTGACACACGCTGACACAGTGACACACAGACACACACTGTAAGCGAGGTGGGTTCACACTGACACACGCTGACACAGTGACACACAGACACACACTGTAAGCGAGGTGGGTTCACACTGACACACGCTGACACAGTGACACACAGACACACACTGTAAGCGAGGTGGGTTCACACTGACACACGCTGACACAGTGACACACAGACACACACTGTAAGCGAGGTGGGTTCACAGAGGCGTCGCACTATGCCTTTGAAGCCCGGAGTGAAACAATTGCTGGACAGGAAACAACTCCTTTCCTGAACCAAACAGGCGGGACAGCCCTCTTTGCCACTTCCCCGTGTGAGCACGTGTGTGTGCGTGTGTGCACGTGTGTGTGCATATGTGTGCGCGCGTGGATATATTCGTAATCACGATTAATGATAATAAAAACAAATTCACTTATTTTCTTCTTTGGTTCTTTCGGTAAAGTCACGTAGAATGATAATAAAATAACACAATAAAATTCTCACGACGTTTCGGCCACAACGAAAATTTAACCGCCTTTACGGGGATTTCACACAATCTTAAGATCATTCGAAGATGGCCGCTTGCGTTGTGGCCGAAACGTCGTGAGAATTTTATTGTTACTTTATTATTTTATTCTCATTCTACGTGACTTTACCGAAAGAACCAAAGAAGATGAATCCTTGCAGTCACGAAAGCTTTAAATCGAAAATTCACTTATTTTGTTCATCCCGTAAAGCGAAGGAGCCCACAGAGGAGGCCACGGAGGAAGAGAGAAGAGTTGGTGCTGGGTGCCTGTCTGTTGAGTTTGTATGTTCTCCCCCCTTCTGCAAAGGTTTCTCTGCTTTCTTCCCATAGCAAAAAAAAACCCTCATACAATGTAACTGGTTTTGGCCAAACTACATCTTAGTGCTAACAAAAAAATAACTGAAATTTTACTTCATTCTTGATTACGCAAATCAACACTGCACACCCCTACTAAAACAATTTGGCAGGACCATCCTGAAGAATCGTCTTGAGACTCAATGAGGCTGTCCAGGGTAAACCAAACATGGTAATGCGAACATTTGGGGCTAACACTCAAAACTCAACAGAAACATCACGGCGACGTCCTGCACCTCAACCTCTGTGACTTCAAAGGCCAAGCAGGTTTGGGAGTCTCACAAATTTACATGTGATCCACCAACCCTTACCTCCAAAGCATTGGACCACAGGCGTGTGAAGGTGCGAGGTTGTGAGAGGCACAGAAAAGCGGCAGCGTAGAACTGAGTCGGAGATGCTGAGCCAGCGCCGCTGAGATTCTGTGTCACAGCCCTTGCTCCGAGTGTCTCTTCCTCTCTGAGGGTTCACAATGAGATCTTGAGCTCAAGCCCCAGGGTCTGGGTCTCTCTCACATGGAGGTGTTTCATAATGGCTATGTCAAAATCACTTGTGGAGCACCGCTGAGATTCTGGGCTCAGGCCCTGGGTCTGGGTGTGAGCCCAAAGGTAGATGGCATACATATATGGATGAAATGCTAATAATCAATCCCTGCACATGCGATGTCATTACATTTCCAGTTGATCATCAATTATCCGAGTATGAGAATAGGTTTTCCCCTTTTTTCTGGCAACAAAACAGGTGTTGAGATGTTAAAACACCAAACTGAAACCTTTTACAAGGAATCATGTCTGCATTAACCACAATACTTGTGATCAGAATGCAAACAAAAAACACACTGATAATGATGCATTGTCTTTCAGTTTCAAAGATAATGCATCATATTATCAGTGTTTTTGTTTGCATTCTGATCCCAAGTATTGTGGTTACTGCAGACATGATTCCTTGTTAAAGGTTTCAGTTTGGTGTTAGCTTCATCAATTGTAATTACTGGCGAAACGTCATACTCAGTTTGTAAAGGTTGTGGCTTGGCTCTCCAACACACCGGTGTGCTGTACTAGTGACGAATTGGCCACGTTCTGTTTACGTGACAACCCTTACTAGTTGGCTGTGTCGGGTAGTGGCGGGTTTTAACGACACATTTATATTTTTACACAATCTAACCCAAAAACCTCTATTATGGATGATATTGGTCGTGAAAGCCGACGACGTGTTAAACAGATAACGTCGTGATTATCCGCCGTTTTTTTTAAACCCGGTGCCCCCTCTCCTCCCCAGAAGCCACCAGGTAATCGATTATCTACTGTATCACAAGTCCAGTGAACACAAGAAATGTACATATTGCTTCCCCCGCTGCTATGAAAATGTACAAATGTGATGAATACAATGCCCCATGCATCACATCCCCGAGTCGTACAAACACAAACGATGTACAATCACACACAGAGGGGTTATTTATTTCACATCACAAATATACAGAGGCACTTATATAACATACAGTATACTCTAGATTATCCATGCTAATGACGGGCAGGACGGCCCGCGCATAATTCAAAATCGCTGATAATCCAAAAATTGAAACATTTTCCGCGGATCTCGATGCGAAAAACCACGAATGTGGGTAAAGTTAAGACAATACTCTTTCGATTTAAAACGAATGCAAACGATCGACCGAACGATGAGCATGTTCAGTGATAACACTTTCCTGCTCCCACGCAGAACACTAGGCCCACTGAGTGGATGATAGCAGAGCCAAGCCAATCAGCAAAATCAAACTGTTGTAAAGATATGCAACTACTGTGGAGGTGATCACGTGGATTTCGGATTAGCAGGAGCAACGTATTTGTTCGGTTGAAGCACGTGACTTGTAATAAAGATTTCCAAATAATAACAATGTATAACTCTTTTTAGATGATTAATTTGGGCCTAAGGGTACATCCATGTGTTATAAATTTTTGTCAAAATCTCAGGTACGCGGTTAATTCGCAAATCAGATAAACCGCATTCGGATAATCGAGAGTCTACTGTATTATAATTACCCCTGTCATAGGAATGTGGAATTTCCATCAAACACTCATGGCCATGAATGGACAGGAGCAACGCCCCTCACCCAGTTACACTCAGATTTTTTTGTCTCTTCCCCCACCAAATTCATTGCGATTTGTGCTATCGGCGCCACGTCATTCAGAACCCCTGCAGAGCAGAGAACGGCCTACGGAACCGGATATCACAGAACTACCTCCAAAATTCCTTCAAGTGACCATTGGTCCACGCGGTGGATGCCAGAATTTCCCCACCCACGGTGTTTCTCGCACGGCAGTCAAACTGAAATGTTTATTTTCCAGAGCTGGAATACAGCCAAAGTTCTTAAAGAAACACATTTAATACCATGGGGTTTATTGAGCACTCACCAGCTATGACGATCAACTCACTGCACATGAGAACCCAGTTTAATCACAGGCAGCTGAAACCTGGATTGGAACTCATCTCAACATTGCAAGCGTAAAATATTTGCTCTGCCTCGTGTACCACCCATTGAATACAATCCCCTCTCGCCCCGCTCCCTCGCGCCCCACGCTTGTGTCTCACCCCCTCGTGTCCCACCCCCTCGTGTCCCACTCCCTCGTGTCCTCCTACCCGTATCAACACTGCCAGCGTGCAGCGCCGCGTACGATCGCGGCCGCGAGCCGTGTGGCGACGGCGTCCGTTGCCGCGTGCGCCATCGCCACCTTCTTCCTGCCGAGTCTCAGCCGCTCGGCCGATTCCTCCGCGGCGCCCCGGGCCGCGGCGCCCCGACGTCGCTCCGTCTCCCGGGCGAATGCCCCCCGCTCGGACTCCAGATCACGTGCGACATCGCCGCCGCCGGCCCCGCCTGCGAAAGACGGGGTTCAAATATGACGCAAGACACCAGACGCGGTGGGATGAGTCCGGAGTGGATTGTTCACAAAGTCATCCGGGTTACACGAGCATTACGAGCGATTGTTACCTTTGGGCTGAATGGGATAAGAGAGAGCAAACAAATGAGATGGTACAGACAAGACGCAACAGACAATGTGGAACTGGAGAATACGAACGAGACGGACGTGATGAGAAAAAGTATAAAAACGAGACGATGGGACAAAACAAACGAGACGTAAAAACGAGTTAAGAAAAAATCATGCACACGCATTGGTTATGCAATGCGTTTATCGAATTAGCAGGCAACGGAGAGCTGCAGGGGCACAACACATTGGCGTATTTGTAAGGAGTTTTACGTCTCCAAGCACACGGGTGAGAGCACAAGCGAGAGGCTCCCTTAATGGACTGGCCTAGGGGGCTTGTTTGTATCACCTCGTGGTTCTGGCGGGAGGCAGGGGCCCAGAACGAGACGTCCGTGAGACAGGGAGGCGGTGATTTCCATGTCGAGGCAGCGCGAGAGCAAGAGGCTGAGATCCGGGGACGGATCTGGAGACGAGAGGTTGGCTCCGCATGGCAGCGAAGACCTCACCGCAGCCATCAACGCGCACAGAGACGCGGACGAGCTGACGATACGGAGATGGAGAGATGGGGGCGACAGAGGGAAGTGGTGAGGGGTGTGAAGGTTGAGGTTCAGGGGGGCCGGGTGGCAGTGGTGCAGTGTCCACACTCGTGCCCCACAGAAACAAGGGCCTGGGTTCGATTGCGGACTTGGGTGCCTTTCTGTTCTACAGGTTTTCTACGGTTTGCTCTCATTGCTAAAAAAATATTTTTTTTTTACTGGTATTGGTCAACATCCCAATGCTGAAAAATTACCTGCAAATTACTCTATTGGCATGACACTGAGCTATACAGCTCATTTTCAGAAGCGACCTGGCCAAAAATGATCGCTCAATGAAGTGGCTTATGACGTGGAAATTTATACCAGTAGCCAAATACTCTAAACGCGTGATGTTGATTCTAAATATGGAAGGAAAACCGAAGAAAAATCCCGTTGACCACAGGGAGAGACATGCAAACTCCAAATATACAGCAGGAGTCAGGGTTTCCCTTCTACGTACCTTTACCGAAAGAACCAAGAATATGTGTGTCATGGTCGGGATCAAACCCATAACTCCTGTATACCAAGCGAGGTTGTTAGCATCACACCACCGTGGCACCTGGAGACAGCTCACCGAGCAATGAACTCTAAACGAGCATCGAAGGGTCCCTTCTGGGTCCACTGCACAGCCGTGTCTCTGAGCGGCCCGTGGCGCCGCTGAGAAATCAGAATGAGCGTGGGCCGAGACGATGATGCGGAAGCTGCTGCTGCTGCCGACGCCGCGGAAACAGACGTAGGTGTGGCAGGAATGGCGCGGCCGAGCGTGGAGACGAGGGAGGAGAGGGCGCCGCCGAGAGCGACGTCGCGAGAGTGCAGGAACAGGGAGCCCCACGGCCGGGCGGCCGACAGGGCCTGAACGTCGTGCGCGGCCTCATCTGAACGGGACACAATCAAGTGGGATTGCGAGCGTCAACTTTTATTTCATGGCCAAATCAGCGCCATGATCATAGAGAAAATCACGAACCTTGTCCCCTCGCTTATTTTGAGGTAGGAATGGAGCTTCACTCGTGGCTCAGAACGACTCTTGAAAGTTCTTCAGAACTGGTGATCAAGAGAAGGCAAGAGTATCGAAATGCTGCAGTCCCCTGAACTCTGCATGAATAAAAACGTTAGGAGGACGTCATTGCAGTCGTGCCTTTGTTTCACTGCTGCCATTTAGAATGCCCACGAGTTCTCAACTCTGCGAGTCAGTGGTGTAAAACACGGCCACACATATAGTTCTTTGAGCTGTGGTCTGGACAAGGCCAAGAGCTTCTTTTTTTTATACACAATGCCGCACACCTTTGTGCGTGGTTAGACCAGCCCGTTATAGATGGAACGAACAAAATAATAATAATTACATTTGTAAGCCACATTTCATCCCACGATCCCAATGTGTCGTGTATGAAAAGCAGGAAATAAGACAAGAGCCAGCGGAAAACGACCAAAACTATAGGGAAAAGGCCATTTTAAAGAGGTGAGTTTTCAGGGCAGATTTAAAAAGCTCTAAATATTCTTATTGTCAGAGGCAAACGTGCTCCATAGTCTTGGCGCTGCACTGGCAAAAAGCCCGAACACCCCAGGAACGGAGCCTTGACCTCAGAATACGAAGAAGGAGATGTTACGATCTCAAGGACCTCATTGGTGGTGTATATAAGTGGATCAGTTCCTGTAAGTAATGTGGGGCTAACCCAATGACAGCTTTGTAGGTCAAGGCTGTCAATGGGTCATGTAACAATACAAGAGAGAATTGAGGAACGCACACTGCTACGGTCCCGTGGGCAGCATGGCACCAAACAGCAATCCCGAAATCGCAATGGCAACGATGCAAGCGGAAGGCAGCAGAGGATGGACTGATGGATCAGAGGAGGCACTTAAGAGTGGAGAGGAATGACGTGGAAACATCAGCACAGATGGGACATTGATGATGATGACCAACAGTGGAATATTGCTGAAGTTTACACAGACCCAGCGGCCTCTGTAACACCGCTGGATGGAAGATGAAGGCTGTTAAACCCACATGCAGGAGTATGTTTGTTCCTGCCCTGTTCTGCTTGGGTTCCATCTGGGTTCCCGGGTTTTCTTTAAAAAAAAAAACATCAAATGTAACTAACTGGCATTGCCCAATGCCGAAAATTTACCTGCAAATTACTCAATGGGGATGACATGTAGCAGCATTGCCACCTACTGCAAAAACTTGCCAGGACCCTTCAGAAAACGTCTTGAGATTCAGCAAGACTTTCCTGGGTAAACAAGCGTCATCATAATAATATAATCAAATGGTCACCTTGCGTCAAGTCCTCTTGCTCAAAGAGCCGCGGGGCGAACTTCCCGTCGGAGACGTCGCGAGCACCAAGGGTCACGGCGCCGCACGTCCAGGCCTTGGTGGCGTCTCCCCCGACCGACTCCCGTATCGCGCCGTTCCGGCCATCATCGTCGTCGTCGCCACCTCCTCCTCCATCGGCATCGAGCGCCAGCAGCAACAAGCGACCGGCAACTTCTTCTCCTCCTCCTCGCTCACCGACGCCCGTGAACACGGGGAGTGGAGTCACAGCCACGACAGAGCCGCCAAAGCCGCTACCGCTAATGAGACGGTGGAACGTGGAGCAGATGCAATCAATTTAGTCCAGGGTGAAAGTGAGAAAGACTGTAGTTAATACATGGCCCATCAGCTTTGTGATTTACTTTAATCATTCCTGGTTAACGTACATTTTACTCATGCAGTGTAAAAACTATAGCAATAATTAACTCAAAAATCTCAAAATTCTCATACGGAGCACCAACTATACCGGTCAAACGTGGCTTCGTCCCGGATTCCCCGAGAGTCGGGGACCTGTCTCCTTTTAGCTGGCGGTGAGCGGAGACCAGGGGCCCCGGAAGACGGGGGTTGGAGTAACGGTGTGACGACGGCGGCGTCGTCAGGAGGATGCAGGGGGAGACAACGCGAGGAGAGGATGCAGCGAGGAGAGCGCGGAGAGGAGGATTCATCGAGGAGGAGCAGCCGGAGGTGACGGGGGCGGCTGGAGCGAGGCAGGGTGGGTGCGGCAGGGTTGGGAAACATCTTTACTGTTTGCAGCGACGTCGCAATCATCGTCGTTGTTGTTGTTGTTGTTCAGTCCATCTGGATCGCTCGGGTAGGAAACCACAGAAGCTACAAACCGGTACCATTCACTTCTCAGGCTATGAGGTCTACCAGTAATGTCGAAACCAATGCCTGCTTATTTGTGAGATCCCAATTGAGTAATTTGCAGGATTTTAGAAAATGTAGCAAAGTTTGAGCATGACACCAGAACACAATAATGACCCACTCTTTTTAAAGGCGTGGTCAATTTTGTTTTGTTTTGGTCAATACAGCCATAGCATTACTCAGGGCGGCCGTTGGATTCGAACCGTGAACCTCTGCAAGAAGCGCCGAACGCACGACTGCTCGTCCACGTGACCTCCTCAAGGCCTCGTCACCGTACAGAAGCGTCAACGCAGCTTCTGGATGTGCGTTAACAGTGCAGCGACCTTGCGCAGCGCAGCAAGCGGGGACCCACCGTTCATTCGTCCACTCCACGTCAATGCCGATGACCCAGGAATCATCAATCACGCGCTGCCAGATTTGTTTCACTCGGACGGTCAGAGTAACAGCCGGCTCCTGCAACAGCCAAACACACACAGAGAGCAGCACAACGGTGTTCTTCTTGTCAGCGGTGGAACCCCAATGAGACCTCAAAAATTGGCGTTTATTAGATATTTACCAGATAAATTACGTTAAATATTTGTATTCTTATCATGAATGTAGAGCCCCCTATTTAAAAAGCTTGAAATGTCTGGGACCACCAAAGCTTGCCCTCTGGGAAGATTGCAGATGATCTCAGCGTCTTAGCGGGGAGACGTAGGGGCTCGCCGTGGCAACGGCGACGCTGAGATATGCATCGTGTGATGATCGTACCCGTCCCATTCGCTAAGGGGCATTATGGGTATTCTAGTGCAGGCTGTTGTTGTAACATTGCTAGGAGGCTGTAGATCAGGGTGTAGCGGCAGTGCCGGGTGTTGTGGTGGTAGTGCCGGGTGGTGGTGGTAGTTCTGGGTGTTTTAGTGGTAATGCTGGGTGTTGCAGCGGTAGTGTCGGGTGTTGTGGTGGTAATGCAGGGTGGTGTAGTGGTAGTGTCAGGCGGTGTAGTGGTAGGGCTGCTGGGTGTTGTAGTTATCGGGTGTTACTTGGAAAACATCTTCAAGGACACGGTCTTCGTTCCCCACTTCATCGTCAAACATCGACACCAACCCTGACTGCAAAGAAACACAATCATGTCCTGTTTTTACAAAACCCGGCAGAGTTCATTGGGATCACCCAGTGACTAAATCTCAGTAACCAAATGTGTTTAACAGCTACACAGCCATTACCAACCCCCTGAGAGGGAGAAAGACACCCAGACCCAGGGCTTGAACCTCGAACCCAGGATCTCAGCAGTACCGGCTCTGTCTCTAACAAGCCCATTATGAATCCAGCTCGAGGAGTTGAAACGTGAATCTGGGTTCTTAGTGGTGCCAGCTGAGTGTCTCGAACATAGCCGTTGGGAACCAACTGAGACGGAGAATATCAGCGGTGGAGTACGGGCTCAGTGTCTCTGACATGGCCATTATGAACCCCCAGAGAGAAAACACTGGAGCGACAGCAATCTCCAGGACTTGGACTCAGGTTCTCAGTGAAGCTGGCCAAGTGTCTCTGACAACAAGGCCATCAGCGTGTTGCCAGATTAACGCGGTTGGCTACGTACGGTGCGAAAGACGTTCAACATATACACGTACTTGAACCCCCTAAGCCACCGGGGCCACTTCTTACAGAAACGTTAATTTTCCCGCGAGCGAGTGAACCCCCTCTCACCGGCGCCGCGGCGAGGCTTGGCGTGGGAGCGCCGTCCGGAATGGCGGCGACGGCGCCGGCTGCCCGTTCGATAACGCGCTGCTTCTCCTGCGACAGCAGCTGTAGTTCCCGCAGCTCGGACAGCCCGGCCTGCGTGGACAGCAAACGCGCACAAGAGTTAGCCCGCCAGATAGCCACGAGCGTCGACGGAGAGGAAAACAAGTAACGTGTAAGCAGGCAACACTCGAACCATGTTGGTGATTGGGTTGGGCCACGTGGTAGTGGCTTCATACCAAAGTTATTGTCGTGTGCCACTCCACCACCCGGCAAGATTGTCAGATTCACGGCACGGGTCAGTCTTTGTATTTGTATTTTTTTACACATCTCATTGGCCACATGGCCTTCTGGGAGTTATTCGTTTCCACTTGCATTGGTTTAATACAATCAAAACTCTGGGCCAGTTTCGACATTCAGTGTCTCATCAAAAGTCAGGCAAACCTGATTAAACCAATGCTGGAGAACTTCCAGATCTGTCCTGAGTTTTGCTCGTATTAAACCAATGCTGCTGAAATGTTTTTTTTTACTCCAAAAACAGCCATGTGGTGGATAAGATTTGTAAAAAAAAAAAAGCCTGCATTCTTTCAGTGGGTGGAGGGACAGACATGTGAAGGAGGCGTGCTGTCAGCTTATTTTTGTTTCCCCGAGGGTTGCCGCGATGTCAATTCTTCACGACATGATATTAAAGGTCACGAAATGGCAAACATCACGATGGTCGGTTTCCTTAACTTTGCAACTGCGTTTCGCTTTGCGAATGCACAATATTTCTGCTTTGCTCTACTTCATGTGCAAAATAACCCACACTCGCCACTGTGAAGCATGGTCAAACAAGCCTCCACGAATGTCCAACCGTTGAGGCCTTCATCCAGCAGTGGACTGTCAAAGAGATGTACAGTAGAACCCCTCTTAACGACGGGCCTCCATAGAGCCCAATGTGTAGTGTATAGTGTAGTGTATTGTAGTGTGTCGTGTAGTGTATAGTAGTGTAGTGTATAGTAGTGTAGTGTGTCGTGTAGTGTATAGTAGTGTAGTAGTGTATAGTGTAGTGTATAGTGTAGTGTATTGTAGTGTGTTGTGTAGTGTATAGTAGTGTATAGTGTAGTGTATAGTAGTGTATAGTGTAGTGTATAGCAGTGCATAGTGTAGTGTATAGTGTAGTGTGTCGTGTAGTGTATAGTAGTGTAGTGTATAGTGTAGTGTATTGTAGTGTGTAGTGTATAGTAGTGTATAGTGTAGTGTATAGTAGTGTATAGTGTAGTGTATAGTAGTGTAGTGTATAGTGTAGTGTATAGCGTAGTGTATAGTGTATGGTCGTGTAGTGTATAGTAGTGTAGTGTATAGTAGTGTATAGTGTAGTGTATAGTAGTGTAGTGCCTCCATATAGCCCAATGTATTTGCTTACTGACCATTCCCCTATAAACGAAGGGCTGTTGTAGGTACAGTAAATATTAATGAATGCATTTATGAACCGTGTTTATTTAATATTAAGCGTTTATAATGTTGTTGGTATTTTTACGTATTAATATCCATTGTTTAATTATAATACGTATTTCTTGGTGAAAAAGCCTTTAACGTGCATTTCCTATATTCGCCTAACAACCGGTTTCGTTGAACCAATCACTGTCGTTAAGAGGGATTCTACTGTATACGATATTATCATCACCATTTCAACGTTTATAATTATGTGCAGGGTAATTAAGAATGCGGATTGATCGGCGAGCGCCACCTGTAGTCTTGTCTCCAGGACTTGCACCATTTGCTCACACTTCTCCAACGAGGACTCCTCCATCGCCTCCTCCTTCATATCCTCCACGCTCTCCACACTCTGCCAACAGAGAGAACATTCGTCGTCGTCATCTTCTTTCTTATGGCCCACGAAGGGGCAACCGTTTTTCGTTTTGCCCACCTAGCACAACTTGCAGGCACGACCGTGCACGCGCCGGTCGTACCGTGTAAGCGACGGGGCCCAAGTCGGTGATGGTGAATTCCTGGAGTGGATTTCTCGGTGCGGAATCGCCGTGCAGCAGCATGGCCTGGTCGCACCCTGTGCAAGCAAAGTCTCCCACGAGCACGGCCCTCACGCCCTCCCAGCAAGCAGCCACCTGCTCTCAGGTTAGGGTTGGACACAGGATTGCGGTGTTGAGTAAAATCAATGTTAATGCAGTCATAGAGATTCGTCGGTCGTTGAGAAAATCACCTTGAATACGTCCGATCTTGGCGGATCTAGAAAGCCAAGTAGGCTTGAGCCTGGACAACCTTTGGATGGGCAACCTTCATCTAAACTGACAGGTGTTATAGGCTTCTGCGGGGCTAAGCTGTCAGTAGAGGGCTGATATATCTATTTCACAGAGCTGGAATTTAGCCAAATAAACTGCATAACCAGACATAAAGTCACGTTTTTTTTATGCAGTAATTAGTGCGCAGTCTGAGAACACCAACTAGCTATACCTGATAACCTGATTTAATTTTCTCGGATTCAAATCCAGATTCTCATGGCTGCTCGGTAGTGTCTCCGACACGGCCATCATGAACCCCACCCCCAGAGCAACCCGGCCACCTCCGCCCGCCCCTCACCTGAAACGTCTCCCGCCAAACGGCGCACATGCTCCCGCCCTCCGACTGCACGAGCAGCACTCCATCTCCACACCAGCCGCTCTGCATCTCAAAAATCTCTCTCGCATCGCCGAACGGCAAGGCACACATGCGCGGCGCTTTGCCACCGCTGGCAAACTCCAGCAGCTGTCCCGCGCTGGTGGCTATCACCACCACCACCACCACCAAATCATCACAATCACGAGCATCAACATCATCACCCATCGCGGCCACCACTGCCAACCCTTCCTGGCGGTCAGACGTCCACAGGCAGCGAGTGACGCCTGCGTATTCGTGGGGCACAGGCAAAGATGGCGGTACCGATGGTGGTAGTGATAGTGGCAGTGAAGAGGTCTTCTGCAGAGGCACAGAGATCCACTCTGCTGACAAGACCCAGTCATTGCTGCTGATGATGCTGCTGCTGCTTGACGTACGACCCAGAGCTGTGAGCTCCCCATAAAACTCGCCAACCCAAAACACATCCATCGCTGACAGCAGCTCAAATGTCTGCACAATCACATTGTTGCTGCTGCTGGTGGCACTGCTGGTGCTGCTGGTGGCAGTGGCCACGTAGATTTGCCCATCACGCCACCACACAACCGTAGAGCCGCTCACCAACGCCACGTCGGCACCACGTGGCCCCGACGGCGAATCAAACTCCAACCTCGTCTCAAAGTGGTCAGGGTGTGGGCTGCATCTCCCGGTCTCGAGTGACAGCACCACGTAGGACCGACACCTCCTCCTAATCCCCATTCTCCTTTCAGCATTGTCCACCTCATCAACATCGTCAACATCGTCGTCGGTGACGACTGGGAGCTGCTGCACATGCAGCAGCACGCACGATCGCACCGCCCCGCGAACTGGCGAGCGGCCACAGAACAACACTTCTAGGGTTTGAGTCCGGCTTGGGGCCACCCAGCGAGGCCCAGCTGAGCTCCATTTGAAGACATGGGTCCCTGGGTCGAACTTGGCTGCTTGAACCGTGAGGGATAGTCGCTCTCCCTGTTCGGTGGCTGTTGTGGCTGTTGTGAACAACACCACGAAATTTCCGTGCGGCAGTAGGAATGGCCCCGCAGCGCTGGTGGCTGAATCTCCGATGCTCATGCTTTGTGGGGTGGGGGGTAGAAAAAGGAAAAGATGGGGGAAGCATTAAAGTGGTAGAATGGTGGTGGTGAGAATGGTCAAGAACAGCCTCTGTGGAGACTCTAGAACAGGGGTGGAGAACGTCCGGCCCGCCGGCCGTATAAAGCCCGCGAAATCATTTGGTCTGGCCCTGCCAAGGCAACCGCAGGCGGGACTCGAAATTCAATCTAGGAGCAAACCTGGAAAAGCAATTGCGAGTTGCAATATCATCAATACCAGCTAACATCACATGCCTCACCAAAGAGAAGCAGGTTTAGCCATCACATTAGGGGTGAGTTGATTAAATGTTTGACCAAATATAACAGGTTAATTTTTAAGTTGATAATTTTGTATGGCCCGTGAATGTTATAAATATCCGAATAGCCCTTGGCAGAAAAAAGGTTCCCCGCCCCTGCTCTACAAGGACGCTGATACTGGGCAGTTGGAGGCACTCGCCCTCCAACAACAACAGAGGGCGGAGGAGCGACGCTCACAACGAGCGGAGCACCGGGTGGCTAAAGCACAGCAAATTGGCACAGTAGGGGGCACAGCTGGTAGTGCATCTGCCAGTCATCTCAGTCAGCCAACCCATGGCACCTGCTGGGTCTGTCCCGTGACCTCCTGCACCTAGCCTGGCACAGTAGGAGGGCACAGCTGGTGGTGCATCGGGCAGTCATCTCAGTCAGCCAAGCCATGGCACCTGCTGGCTCTGTCCCGTGACCTCCTGCACCTAGCCTGGCACAGCTGGTGGTGCATCGGGCAGTCATCTCAGTCAGCCAAGGCATGGCACCTGCTGGGACTGTCCCGTGACCTCCTCCTGCCAGCGAGGCTTCGACACTTCACGTGGCCTCAAAGTGCACCTAGCCTGGCACGGGCGCCGTGGGAACGTCACCGTCACTTGGTTGCGAATGGCGTGAGTTGGTGAGAATGGTGATGGTGAGAATGGTGATGGTGAGAATGGTGATGGTATATTCTTGGTTCTTTCGATAAAGTCACGTAGATAGAAAATAAAAATACAATATATTTTTATTGAAATGTATTTTAAATGTATTTTTATTTTCTAACGACGTGACTTTACCGAAAGAACCAATAATATGAATTCCTGCAGCCAAGAAAGTTTAAAATCACAATGGTGATGGTCGTGTAGCGGTTAGCGCGCTGCGCTATAAACCCAGCGAGCCGAGTTCGATTCTCGCTCATGGCCAACTCCGGCGACGATTATCTGAACCGGTCCAGGTCCTCCCCTAGGTCGATTCAGCCTCAAATGAGTACCCGGTGCGGTGTGTAAACATCGCCACTGGGGAGACAAAGTTCAGACGTGGTGCTGGCCACCCACCCCCTCGTGTGCCGTTCCGGCCTTCATAAGTGCTGTTCGCTAACAGCACTTGCCCCTACAGTCTACTAAGGCTATGCGAAGTATCTTTGGACTGTATTTGTTTGCAGATGGAGGTGATGGGGAGGTGGTAGTGATGATGTGGTGGTGGTGAGGTGGTAGCGATGGGGAAGTGGTGGTAACAGTGATGGTGAGGTGGTAGCGGTGCTGAAGTGGTATTGATACGGTGGTGATGTGGTAGTGATGGTGAGGTGGTAGTGATGGTGGTGAGGTGGTAGTGATGTAGTGATGGTGGTGATGTGGTAGTGATGGTGGTGAGGTGGTAGTGATGGTGATGTAGTAGTTATGGTGGTGATGTGGTAGTGATGGTGGTGAGGTGGTAATGACGGTGCTGTGGTAGTGATGTAGTGATGGTGGTGATGTGGTAGTGATGGTGGTGAGGTGGTAGTGATGGTGGTGACGTGGTAGTGATGGTGGTGATGTAGTAGTGATGGTGGTGATGTGGTAGTGATGGTGGTGATGTGGTAGTGATGGTGGTGATGTGGTAGTGATGGTGGTGAGGTGGTAGTGGTGATGTGGTAGTGATGGTGATGTAGTGGTGATGTGGTAGTGATGTAGTGGTGGTGAGGTGATAGTGATGGTGGTGAGGTGGTAGTGATGGTGGTGATGTAGTAGTGATGGTGGTGATGTGGTAGTGATGGTGGTGATGTGGTAGTGATGGTGAGGTGGTAGTGATGGTGGTGATGTGGTAGTGACGGTGATGTGGTAGTGACGGTGATGTGGTAGTGATGGTGGTGATGTGGTAGTGATGGTGATGTAGTAGTGATGGTGAGGTGGTAGTGATGGTGGTGATGTGGTAGTGATGGTGGTGAGGTGGTAGTGATGTAGTGATGGTGGTGATGTGGTGTGATGGTGGTGATGTGGTAGTGATGGTGGTGAGGTGGTAGTGATGTAGTGATGGTGGTGAGGTGGTAGTGATGGTGATGTAGTAGTGATGGTGGTGATGTGGTAGTGATGGTGGTGATGTGGTAGTGAGGTGGTAGTGATGTGGTAGTGACGGTGGTGAGGTGGTAGTGATGTGGTAGTGAGGTGGTAGTGATGTGGTAGTGATGGTGGTGAGGTGGTAGTGATGTGGTAGTGATGGTGATGTAGTAGTGATGGTGGTGATGTGGTAGTGATGTAGTGATGGTGATGTGGTAGTGATGGTGGTGATGTGGTAGTGACGGTGGTGATGTGGCAGTGACGGTGATGTGGTAGTGACGGTGATGTGGTAGTGATGGTGGTGATGTGGTAGTGATGGTGATGTAGTAGTGATGGTGAGGTGGTAGTGATAGTGGTGATGTGGTAGTGATGGTGGTGAGGTGGTAGTGATGTAGTGATGGTGGTGATGTGGTAGTGATGGTGGTGATGTAGTAGTGATGGTGGTGATGTGGTAGTGATGGTGGTGATGTGGTAGTGATGGTGGTGACGTGGTAGTGATGTAGTGATGGTGGTGATGTGGTAGTGATGGTGGTGAGGTGGTAGTGATGGTGGTGACGTGGTAGTGATGGTGGTGATGTAGTAGTGATGGTGGTGATGTGGTAGTGATGGTGGTGATGTGGTAGTGATGGTGGTGATGTGGTAGTGATGGTGGTGAGGTGGTAGTGGTGATGTGGTAGTGATGGTGATGTAGTGGTGATGTGGTAGTGATGTAGTGGTGGTGAGGTGGTAGTGATGGTGGTGAGGTGGTAGTGATGGTGGTGATGTAGTAGTGATGGTGGTGATGTGGTAGTGATGGTGGTGATGTGGTAGTGATGGTGATGTAGTAGTGATGGTGATGTGGTAGTGATGGTGGTGATGTGTTAGTGATGGTGGTGAGGTGGTAGTGATGTAGTGATGGTGGTGATGTGGTAGTGATGGTGGTGAGGTGGTAGTGATGGTGATGTAGTAGTGATGGTGGTGATGTGGTAGTGATGGTGGTGATGTGGTAGTGATGGTGGTGACGTGGTAGTGATGTAGTGATGGTGGTGATGTGGTAGTGATGGTGGTGAGGTGGTAGTGATGGTGGTGACGTGGTAGTGATGGTGGTGATGTAGTAGTGATGGTGGTGATGTGGTAGTGATGGTGGTGATGTGGTAGTGATGGTGGTGATGTGGTAGTGATGGTGGTGAGGTGGTAGTGGTGATGTGGTAGTGATGTAGTGGTGATGTGGTAGTGATGTAGTGGTGGTGAGGTGGTAGTGATGGTGGTGAGGTGGTAGTGATGGTGGTGATGTAGTAGTGATGGTGGTGATGTGGTAGTGATGGTGGTGATGTGGTAGTGATGGTGAGGTGGTAGTGATGGTGGTGATGTGGTAGTGACGGTGATGTGGTAGTGACGGTGATGTGGTAGTGATGGTGGTGATGTGGTAGTGATGGTGATGTAGTAGTGATGGTGAGGTGGTAGTGATGGTGGTGATGTGGTAGTGATGGTGGTGAGGTGGTAGTGATGTAATGATGGTGGTGATGTGGTAGTGATGGTGGTGATGTGGTAGTGATGGTGGTGAGGTGGTAGTGATGTAGTGATGGTGGTGAGGTGGTAGTGATGGTGATGTAGTAGTGATGGTGGTGATGTGGTAGTGATGCTGGTGATGTGGTAGTGATATGGTAGTGAGGTGGTAGTGATGTGGTAGTGACGGTGGTGAGGTGGTAGTGATGTGGTAGTGAGGTGGTAGTGATGTGGTAGTGATGGTGGTGAGGTGGTAGTGATGTGGTAGTGATGGTGATGTAGTAGTGATGGTGGTGATGTGGTAGTGATGTAGTGATGGTGAGGTGGTAGTGATGGTGGTGATGTGGCAGTGACGGTGATGTGGTAGTGACGGTGATGTGGTAGTGATGGTGGTGATGTGGTAGTGATGGTGATGTAGTAGTGATGGTGAGGTGGTAGTGATAGTGGTGATGTGGTAGTGATGGTGGTGAGGTGGTAGTGATGTAGTGATGGTGGTGATGTAGTAGTGATGGTGGTGATGTGGTAGTGATGGTGGTGATGTGGTAGTGATGGTGGTGATGTGGTAGTGATGGTGGTGAGGTGGTAGTGGTGATGTGGTAGTGATGGTGATGTAGTGGTGATGTGGTAGTGATGTAGTGGTGGTGAGGTGGTAGTGATGTGGTGGTGAGGTGGTAGTGATGGTGGTGAGGTGGTAGTGATGTGGTAGTGATGGTGATGTAGTAGTGATGGTGGTGATGTGGTAGTGATGTAGTGATGGTGATGTGGTAGTGATGGTGATGTAGTAGTGATGGTGGTGATGTGGTAGTGATGGTGGTGATGTGGTAGTGATATGGTAGTGAGGTGGTAGTGATGTGGTGGTGAGGGGACTTTTCAAGTCTCCTCGCGCCCTCACTTCACGCCGAGGAACGCGGCCGAGGGAGCGAGCCCCGTGGAGACGGAGCGATGATGAGGATCAGCTCATGGTGTATGCAGCTGCTGCTGCTGGGTGGATTGTTGTTACATCGCAGAATCGTGAGAGATTGTTGTTACATCGCAGAATCGTGAGTTAGCGGGGGCTTGATGGGCCCTCATCCCGCGGGGGGGGGTACTGTACAGCGATGGTCAGCCTGGCTGACCATCGCTGTACAGTACTTGTATAATAAGGCGTTACCTCACGTAAACAAAAAAAATAACTCAACGTAAAAGTTAATTTATTAAGCACGCATCTTTTGGCTTATGTGTCGATAACTTTAACAACACTACGACAAATCTGGGGCTTAATGTAAAACAACGCGAATGTTTACGTGCCGAGGACCGCGCATTTCCCGCCTTTTCCCCCGTGCAAGGGTCACGTGGGTGGGCAAGGGGGTGGGTGGGGTGGGCAAGGGGGTGGGTGGGGGGGGCAAGGGGAGTGGGGGGGCACAAGGGGGGTGAGTGGGGGGGGCAAGGGGGGTGAGTGGGGGGGGGGGCAAGGGGGGTGAGTGGGGGGGGCAAGGGGGGTGAGTGGGGGGGGCAAGGGGGGTGAGTGGGGGGGGGCAAGGGGGGTGAGTGGGGGGGCGCAAGGGGGGCACAAGGGGGGTGGGGGGGGCAAGGGGGGTGGGGGGGGGCAAGGGGGGTGAGTGGGGGGGCGCAAGGGGGGTGAGTGGGGGGGCACAAGGTGGGTGAGGGGGGCACAAGGTGGGTGAGGGGGGGGGCACAAGGGGGGTGAGTGGGGGGGGCAAGGGGGGTGAGTGGGGGGGCACAAGGGGGGTGAGTGGGGGGGGGCACAAGGGGGGGTGAGTGGGGGGGGGCACAAGGGGGGTGAGTGGGGGGGGGCACAAGGGGGGTGAGTGGGGGGAGGTCCTGGTGGCCACGTGACGCGCGTGACGCTACGCGGAACAGCTGATCGCTCGCCTCACCATGGCCGCGGATGGCGAGGGCGAGACCTCCGACCCCTCTCCCGACTCTTCCTCCTCGCCGCCGCCGTCATCGTCGGCGTCGTCCGCCGGCGCCTCCCGCCTCTCGCTCGCCGCCTTCGCCCTCTGCCCGGACGAGGATCCGGCCGTGAGCCAGCTGAGGCAGAGGTTCATCGACGACTACGGATCCAGTACGTGCTGTGGCCCGGCCCTGTCACGGTGTGGGCGGGCGAGATGTTAACTACCTCGCCTGGTGTGCAGGAGAGCACGGGCTCGATCCCTACCCTGACGCCTGCTGTGTATTTGGAGTTTGTGTCTCTATCTCTCTCGTTGGCGAGATGTTAACTACCTCGCCTGGTGTGCAGGAGAGCAGGGGGTCGATCCCGACCCTGACGCCTGCTGTGTATTTGGAGTTTGTGTGTCTATATCTCTCTCCTCATGGTCGCGTGAATTTTTCTCCGGCTTCCTCCGGTTTTTTTCCCCCTCCGCATTTATAATCAACACGACGCGTTTAGAGTTATGTCTTTTGCTATACATTTCCACGACGATGATAATGCAAAGCCGTCACTTCGTGGAGCTATCATTTGTGATGGCCGGTTCGCGTCTGAAAAAAAAACACAACAACGTAGTTCAGTGGCGGCTTTAACTGGTAAAATCAAATAATACAAAGTTTAAATAGTTAATCGGCGTTCGCGAACAGTTCTTGCCTCTCTCAAGGCCACACGGGAGGACGATCTTGGTCGTAGTTGTACCCAGGGGTTTATATTGAGCCGGGGGCTGGCAGAGCTGCGGTAAATATGAACGACTCTCCTTCCCCCGCGGTGTCTGGCAGGGCCCGCGCTTGGTTGGGATACCCGGGAAATATTCCACGAGGAGCTCAGCCGAACCCTTCTTAGCCCGTACATGGACCTCCGTGAAAAAGAGCTGCATAGCTCATGGGATTCCTCTTGCAGTCTCAATAAAGAGTCTGGGTTTTTTTTAAGTGCACCTAGCCTGGTACAGCCGCGGGGGCGGCGTCCGCGTTACTTGGTGGATGCAGTCTCACGACTTCACCGCAGCAGCAGCAGCAGCACGCGCGGCACTCTGGAAAAGAGTTGAACCGTGCAACTGCTCTGTGTGGTGGAGGTATTCACGCGTGTGTGTGTGGGAGGTGTTCACGCGTGTGAGTGTGTGTGTGGGAGGTGTTCACGCGTGTGTGTGTGGGAGGTGTTCACGCGTGTGAGTGTGTGTATGGGAGGTGTTCACGCGTGCGAGTGTGTGTGTGGGAGGTGTTCACGCGTGTGTGTGTGGGAGGTGTTCACGCGTGTGAGTGTGTGTATGGGAGGTGTTCACGCGTGTGAGTGTGGGAGGTGTTCACGCGTGTGTGTGTGGAAGGTGTTCACGCGTGTGAGTGTGTGTGTGGGAGGTATTCACGCGTGTGAGTGTGTGTGTGGGAGGTGTTCACGCGTGTGAGTGGGTGTGTGTGGGTGTGAGTGTGTGGGAGGTGTTCACGCGTGTGTGTGTGTGGGAGGTGTTCACGCGTGTGTGTCTGTGAGTGTGTGTGTGATTGCCGTGCACACACCATGCTGATCATCTTCACGGACGGTACACACGAGATCGACAGTTCACACGAGTCGGACAGTACACGCGAGTCAGACCGTACACGGGACAAAAATCAATTATCCGATTAGCACGGTTGTCTATGTACGGTGCGAAGGAAGTTCATCATACAGCACATACGGGACAGTATACACGGAACGGACAAGAATATATCCTCGATTATAATCTTGACGCCTCACCAAACCGTGGAGGAGAAGGAGGAAGTTGGATGTGAGTCCTCCCGAAGGCGCCGTCATGTAAACACCGTGTACTCGGATATTGTAACAGCTCTCCAGATGAGGGTCTGGGCTTTCAGATCATTTACCCTCCACTTTAGACATCATTAGCCATGGTCGATCCACTGCTAGATGAAGGCCTCTCCAAGCCGTCACCACTTTGTTGTGATCCTGCAATGTAATCGCCCAGCACCTGTCCGTGAACTGATTTCATCGCTCCATCTCCTCCGCGGTCGTGCCCTTCGGACGCGTTCTATCCCTCGGCCGCCACACCGTTATTAGTCTTGGCTGTCGCCCATCGTGAGTGAGAATTGTTTTCTAACTCGCCCACGGTGAGCGTGGATGTGAGTGAGTGAGAATTGATATCTACTTCACCCACGGTGAGCGTGGATCTGAGTGGGTGAGAATTGATGTCTAGCTCACCCACAGTGAGTGTGGATGGGAGAATGGATGTCTAGCTCACCCACAGTGAGTGTGGATCTGAGTGGGTGAGAATTGTTCTCTAGCTCACCCACGGTGAGCGTGGATGTGAGTGAGTGAGAATTGATGTCTTGCTCACCCACAGTGAGTGTGGACGTGAGTGGGTGAGAATTGATGTCTCACTCACCCACGGTGAGTGTGGATGTGAGTGAGTGAGAATTGATGTCTCACTCACCCACGGTGAGTGTGGATGTGAGTGGGTGAGAATTGATGTCTCACTCACCCACGGTGAGTGTGGATGTGAGTGGGTGAGAATTCATGTCTCACTCACCCAAGGTGAGTGTGGATGTGAGTGAGTGAGAATTTATGTCTCACTCACCCACAGTGAGTGTGCATGTGAGTGAGTGAGAATTGATGTCTCGCTCACCCACAGTGAGTGTGCATGTGAGTGAGTGAGAATTGATGTCTCACTCACCCACGGTGAGTGCGGATGTGAGTGGGTGAGAATTGATGTCTCACTCACCCACAGTGAGTGTGGATGTGAGTGAGTGAGAATTGATGTCTCACTCACCCACGGTGAGTGTGGATGTGAGTGAGTGAGAATTAATGTCTCACTCACCCACAGTGAGTGTGGATGTGAGTGGGTGAGAATTGATGTCTCACTCACCCACAGTGAGTGTGGATGTGAGTGAGTGAGTGAGAATTGATGTCTAGCTCACCCACGGTGAGTGTGGATGTGAGTGAGAATTGATGTCTAGCTCGCCCACGGTGAGTGTGGATGTGAGTGAGTGAGAATTAATGTCTAGCTCACCCATGGTGAGTGTGGATCTGAGTGAGTGAGAATTGACGTCTAGCTCACCCACAGTGAGTGCGGATGTGAGTAAGTGAGAATTGATGCCTAGCTCACCCAAGTTAGGTGTGGATGTGAGTGAGTGAGAATTCATGTCTAGCTCACCCAAGGTGAGTGTGGATGTGAGTGAGTGAGAATTTATGTCTCGCTCACCCACAGTGAGTGTGGACGTGAGTGGGTGAGGATTGATGTCTCACTCACCCACGGTGAGTGTGGATGTGAGTGGGTGAGAATTGATGTCTCACTCACCCACGGTGAGTGTGGATGTGAGTGGGTGAGAATTGATGTCTCACTCACCCACGGTGAGTGTGGATGTGAGTGGGTGAGAATTCATGTCTCACTCACCCAAGGTGAGTGTGGATGTGAGTGAGTGAGAATTTATGTCTCACTCACCCACAGTGAGTGTGCATGTGAGTGAGTGAGAATTGATGTCTCGCTCACCCACAGTGAGTGTGCATGTGAGTGAGTGAGAATTGATGTCTCACTCACCCACGGTGAGTGCGGATGTGAGTGGGTGAGAATTGATGTCTCACTCACCCACAGTGAGTGTGGATGTGAGTGAGTGAGAATTGATGTCTCACTCACCCACGGTGAGTGTGGATGTGAGTGAGTGAGAATTAATGTCTCACTCACCCACAGTGAGTGTGGATGTGAGTGGGTGAGAATTGATGTCTCACTCACCCACAGTGAGTGTGGATGTGAGTGAGTGAGTGAGAATTGATGTCTAGCTCACCCACGGTGAGTGTGGATGTGAGTGAGAATTGATGTCTAGCTCGCCCACGGTGAGTGTGGATGTGAGTGAGTGAGAATTAATGTCTAGCTCACCCATGGTGAGTGTGGATCTGAGTGAGTGAGAATTGATATCTAGCTCACCCACAGTGAGTGCGGATGTGAGTAAGTGAGAATTGATGCCTAGCTCACCCAAGTTAGGTGTGGATGTGAGTGAGTGAGAATTCATGTCTAGCTCACCCAAGGTGAGTGTGGATGTGAGTGAGTGAGAATTAATGTCTAGCTCACCCATGGTGAGTGTGGGTGAGTGAGAATTGGTGTCTAGCTCACCCACGGTGAGTGTGGATGTGAGTGACATGGTGAGTGTGGGTGAGTGACAGTTGAATTCGTTTTGGAGGCATTGGGGTGTTGGAGGGATCTTAACAACACAGATTTGTGCAGGATATTACCACGTGGCCTCGCCCAACAATCCACTGCGTCTCATTGCGGGTACTTGCCTTGCAGTGCGTGTCGCCATCAATCATCGCCGTGGGGCCACCACGGTGGCGAGATGTTAACTACCTGTCCTGGTAGGGGCCATCCACCTAGTACGTACGCGTGGAGGGGGGAGGGCGGGTTAACCCAAATGCGTACACTTGCGTATTGGGGGGGGTCTGACAATGTACGTACACATAGGAAACGGGGGGGGGGGGGGGCGGTGAAGCCTCGATAATAATTTGTCTACATTGGCCTTCAAATGAGTTAGATAGTTCGGCGGTGGACTATCTGTTTGCTTAAGTCTCTCTCCCCTGTGGTTGCATGCATTTTTCTCCAGGCTCTCCGGTTTTTCCCTCCACATTTAGAATCATCATCACGCATTTAGAGTATGTGGCTGATAAAAAATTTCCACATGATGAAAAGCCACTTGGTTGAGCTATCATTTGTGATAGCCAGGTCGCTGCTGAAAAAATATCTACATAGCTCAGTTGGCCTTGACCTGGTAACGTAAAAAAAAATAGTTTAGTTTGATTATTTGTCCCGTGCAAAACGTCGTCTTCGATGGTGATTTCCCAGAACCGACGGAAGGGGGTGGCCCCCGGTACGACCCTCGTGACCTCGAGTACGTGCGGACCAATGACGCCCTCCTACGCCGAGTGTTGCGCTCGAGAAACGGCTCGTTGGAGGCGGCGGCCCACGCCCTGGACGACGCCTTGATCTGGCGCCGCGAGTTTGAGATCAACGGTGAGAGGAGCGAGTGGGTGGGCGAACCGTAGCCCCCGGCAACCTCCGGGGAGTGACGTGGGCCCGGCGACAGATGCTCGTGATTCGCTTCCAGAAGGCCGCCCCCGGTTAATGCCGTGGGCGCGCATATTACACCGTAAAATACTACGACACGTCCGCTTCGCGGCAGACGTTAACGAGTCCCGTGACGTCTTTCATAACGATTTAGCCACCGTGTGCCGATGCCACCTCTGTGACGGTGACGCCTGCAGGATTAACCACAGTGGCTGCTGGTCTCATGAATGATTCCTATCATTGAGGTATTTTAGCCCGTCGATAAACCCGAACCGTGGCCTTAATGGGCCTTGTCTGTTACCCTTTGACGGTGACCCCTGGCGGTGACCCCTGCCGGTGACCCCTGTCCGTGTGCCTCATGCAGACATCACAGAGCTGAGCTTCGACACGGCGCTGCTGGAGCACGGCGCCATCTACCTGCACGGCCTGGACAGGGACTTAAATAGGATACGTGCGTCACGCTCGCATGCACGCTCGCGCACATGCACGCTCGATCCGCTGTGTGCATCTCTCTCGCTCGCACGTTCGATCCATGTATGCATGGTCTCTCACTCGCACGTTCGATCTATTGCTGCCGCACTGCTGCTTTTGAGTGACGTGTATTCCGCCCAACCTCTCACCCACTCACACATTCAACCACTCGCTCACCCGCTCAACCACTCACTTATCTACTCACTCACACATTTAACCACTCATTCTCCCACTTAACCACTCTCCCACTTACACACTCACCCGCTCAATCATTTAACCTCTCTCCCACTCACTCAACCACCCACCCACCCACTCAACGATTCAACCTCTTTCCCCCTCGTCCACTCAACCATTCAATGACTCAGTCACTCGCCCAATCGCCCACTCAACTGCCCTCCCGCTCGCGTAGCTACTAAACCACCCACCTCCTCCCCCCTCCCCCGTTCTCATGGTTGTGTGGCCCCGTGTACTTCCCCGCCCGTGTGCCCGCATGCTCCACGCTCAGTGTGGCTGCACGTGCGCATGGGCGTGAAGTCGCACCTCGACAAGCGGCGCCTTGTCGCCTTCTGGGTGGAGCGGCACACCCAGCGCGACCCCAACAAGAAGATCACCGTCATGTTCGACATGGCCGAGACGGGGCTCTCGAACGTGGTGAGCCAGCCGCCCGCTCGTTCAACCACCCACTCGCTCGTACAGTCGCCATGTCGACTCGCACACTCGGCCACCCACTCGCATAACCAGTCGCCCCCGCCGAATCATTCAACATCTCGCGCTCTCAACCGCTGACTCACTTGTCCGCTGTCCCCACTCGCGCACTCATCCATCCACTCACTCACTCGCTTATTCTTGTTCTTAGTTATTCACTTTCCCAATCGCTTATCTACTCACCCACTCAAATATTCAACAACAACAACAACCGCCAGTGGTGATGACATCACCACGGCGCTTATGCCAGGCTATGTGCACGCTCGTCCACCCACTAATCTACTCACTCACTCATCCACTCACCCACGCAAATATTCACCCACTCACTCACTTGTCCACTCACCCACCCGGCCGCTCAACCCGCCAACACATTCACCGAATGTAAATTTGTCTTAATTGGTGGAAACTGCCCCATTTGCCTTCTCCCCGCCTAGGACTTGGACTTCATTCGATTTGTGATCAACTCCTTCAAGATCTACTACCCTGGACTGCTGGGTAAGTCCTTGAAGTTCGGCAAATCCCGGTTAGGGCCCCGGGCCATGACGCGGCCCAGAGACGGGCGGGTGGTGGGCGGAATTGGCAGCTATGTCCTAGGGCAGTGGTTCTTCTTAACCTGGTGTGCACGTACCCCCTGGGGGTGCGAGACATGGCCAGATTTTTTTAGAAGGTAAATCATCGAGAACACAATTAAGCATGGGCACGTAATTACAACCACTTTGTTTCATCAAACCCCATGTATTTATTTTTTACACGATTGCGAGCCAAAGGGGTGCATGGCTGCAGTAAAGATGATAAGAACCACTGTCGTAGAGGTTCACCAGGGTTCAAATCTGGCAAGCCATCCCCCGGTAAATACCGCGGCGGTCGGAATAGTCTGCGGCAGTTCTACGTGCCGTCTGCTTGGTTAGAGATCCCCGTGACGTCGTTCGCGAAGAGTAGGCCGCTCTTTGTGTGCCAGCGTCACGGTCCAAATTTTTTACCAAATGTTGATAAAATTTGAACCGGAAAATGACTCGTTTCGGATCGCACACAGCAGCAGCAGCATCCCACATGGGCAAAACAAGCACAGTAATAACTACCTATCCACTTCATAATAAAGGTTTTTGGGTTAGATCGCGTTATTTATAAATGTGTCGAAACCCTCCACCACCCGACACGGCCAATCAGCAAAAAAAAAGTGTGACGTTGACAAAAGACAATTAGTTCAACATTTATAAATAACGCGATCTAACCCAAAAACCTTTATTATGAATAATATTGGTCGCGAAAGCCTACGTGTTAAACTACCTATCCACTGCTGGATGAAGTCCTTTGCAAGCCATTGTCAGCTGTCACGGTTCTGCAATGCGATGCTCCTCAACTAAACAAATTTGATTTTATTTTACCAGGTAAGACCCACTGAGCTATATAGCTCTTTTTCAGAAGCGGCCTGGCCACAAATGATCGCTCAACAAAGTGCCTTGTTATTGTGTGGAGATTTACAGCAACAGCCAAATACTGTGAACGTGTGACGTTGATTCTATAAATGTGGAGGGAAGAACCAGAGGACCCGGAGAAAAATCCACGCGTCCACTGGGAGAGAGACACGCAAACTCCAAACATACAGCAGGCATCGTCAGGGTCGAGATCGAACCAACGACCTCCTGTATACAATGGGAGGTAGTTAATATCCCTTAGCCGCCACGGCGCCCTGCGCACGAGCCGATTTCATCACTCCACCTCCGCGGTGGAACGCCGCTCGGCAAACAATTACGACGATGAGCGCCGACGGTGACGTACGTTTGTTCTTTATTTCCTCGCAGCCAAAATCATCGTGTTCGAGATGCCCTGGATCATGAACGGTGAGTGAGGCTGCCCCGCACTCCATTGCACCCAACGCACTGCGTGCGTCACATGGATGGGCTCCTTCTCATGCGAGAGGGCTCAATGTCTTTCTGGCGTGTAGGTGTGTGTGTGTGTCTGTCTCCGCGCTACAGAACCCGGCGACCCGAGTTCGATTCCCGCTCACGGCCAACACCAGTAACAATTATCTGAACCGGTCCTGGGCCTCCGCTGGGTCAATTCAGCCTCAAATGAGTACCTGGTGCGGTGTGTAAAATAACATCGCCACTGGGAAGACAAAGGCGGTCGGGCATTGTGTTGGCCAACCCCTTTTGTGTACCATGACGGCCTTCAGTGGTGCTTGCTAACAGCACTTGCTCAGCAGTCTGTTAAGACTATACGGGGGATCTTTATCTTTGTATTCACATGGCCTCAATGTGCATCTGGCCTGGAATAGGTGCCGTGGCGACATCACCGCCACTTCGTGGCGAATGGCGGCTGTTGTATTTGTGTGTTTGTATGTGTGTACGCATACGTTTGTGTGTACGCTCGCTGACAGCACTTGCCCCCAGCCGTCTGTTTAAACTTTAGGGGCACCTTTGTCTGTGTTCAGCGGCGTGGAAGATCATCAAGGGCTGGCTGGGCCCGGAGGCCATACAGATCCTGAAGTTTGTGTCGCGCGGAGACGTACAGCAGCACATCGGCGCCGACTACCTGCCCCCGCACATGGGCGGCCTGGTGAGCCCCCTGCCCTTCTTCATTTGCCCCCCCCCTCCCGCCGTGCGCGCTCACTCGCTTTACCTGCGACGGCCTCGCTCCCCACAAAGTCTCGAGGACTCGGGAGGGGTTCCTGCCAGGTTCAGCCGGCGGCGGCAGCGACAACAACAAAGACAACAAACGTCAACGCCGCAGAGAAGGAGTACAGCAGGAATATTGCACAACCAACAAACGACGTCCTAACTGGACATCTGTGTGTAGTGACACCTGACATGGTCGTCTTCAACAATAGCAGTCTTTATTTCTTCCTGCATGAGGCACACACGCAGGGTCTTCAAGGATTCCCTTCCCTCCAAGCGTCTTGGAGTGAAGGGAATCTTATATATTCCTCAAGACCCTTTCCCGAAAGTTCCTTGACCTTCCACTTTCTCTCCAGCCAATCACCTTCCACTTTGTCTGACAGATCCCAACCGTCCTTTCTGTCAATCGTCCTCCGTTTCCCGCTCCTTACATTTTAGTATTTCTCCTCCAATCCCTTCAATTTCCCTGCCTCTAACCAATTCCCTTTCAGGCTCCTTTATGCGTGCGTGTCACGTGGTGTCCGCCACGTCAGGTGAGTATCATTGGTCGTGACACAATCTCTACGTGTGCAAAAGAGCTTCATAGCTCATCAGATTCCTCCCATTCTAAATAAAGATTCTGATTTTGAAACGAGGTGGGTTTTTTAATGGTCGCAAACGAAGGGCACTTGAGAAACTTAAATTTTAAAAAAATAAACGGTGCGAACATGACGTTGAGAGACAGTTGGCGCCCGACAAAAAGAACGCGTCAGGTGCAATTAAGCTCTTTGTTTTAGTCTTAACTGTGACCATAAACACACGTGAATCTAAGAACATAAAACTGGGGGAATCCAATGAGCTATGAAGCTCCCCTTGACATGCGTCAAGTAAGCTGGGTTACAGGTGCGAGGAAACTTTGCATTCTAGGCAGTTGGTCGCCGATGGCGGACAACTCTCCAATCGCCGCAGTGGCTAGGAGATGTTAACTCCCTCGCCTGGTATACAGAAGGGCATGGGTTCGATCCAGAGCCTGATGCCTGCTGCATATTTGTAGTTTGTGGTGTCTCTCTCCCTGTGATTGCGTGGATTCTTCTCCGGGTCCTCCGGTTTTTATTCTCCACGTTTAGAATCAACATCACCACGCGTTCAGAGCATTTGGCTGTTGCTTTAAATTTCCACGTGATAAGCCACTTTGTTGAGATATCATTTGCATGACCAGGTTGCTTCTGAAAAAGAGCTACACAGCTCAGTCGGGGCTTACCTGGTAAAAATAAAATAGTTTAGTCATAAAATAAAAACAGGTTAGTAGTTTTATAATCGCGGAAACGTCTGCATGCGTGCGCCCACCCCCACCGCCCCACACGTGCGCAGGACAAGTTCCGCTACAGCTACCCGCCCCTGCCGGAGGACGACCACTTTGAGTGTCCGGTTCCGTCTCCGGAAGACGAGGAGCCGGGCGACGCCAAGGACGCCGAGGAGGCGTGGACCATCGCCCCCCTCGCTCAGCCCGCCGCCCTCGACGCGCTGGCGCACCGCCAGGTTCCTAACGGCCCGGGGTCGGACGAACGATCGGGTTCTCGTGACGGGTAGACTTGCCCCCCCCCCGGCATCTGAATGTTGTAATTTCCACCACAGCCTCGGGGATTGTAAATTTAAAAAAAGATAAATACTTTCTTACCAGGTGAAGGCACCACTGAGCTATGAAGCTGTATTTTTTCAGAAGCGAGCTGGCTGTCACGAATGAAAGCTCAACGAAGCGACTTATCATCATCATCGTGGACATTTATAGCAGCAGCCAAATACTCTAAACGCGTGATGTTGATTGAAATATGGAAGGAGAAACCGGAGACGCGACCACATGGAGAGAGACACGCAGATTCCAAATATTCAGGGGGTCAGAGTCGGGATCGAACCCACGTACCTCCTGTATACCAGGTGAGGTAGTTAACATCTCCTAGCCACCGTGGCGCCCTAATGAGGAGGTGAGCGCAAGTGGCACTCGGCGCTGATGATGGGCAGGAGGCCTCCTGAACGACGCGAGCTGTCGCCGGGAATCCAACTCGGGTCGCTGGGTTCGTAGTGAAGCGAGCGAATCGCTGTGCACACCCCCCCACCCCCCACTCCAAAAAACAAAGATCCCCCGTGTAGCCTTAACGGACTGTTGGGGCAAGTGCTGTTTGCGAGCACCTATGAGGGCCAGAACGGCACACGAGGGTGGGTGGGTGGCCAGCAACACGCCCGACCGCCTTTGTCTCCCCAGTGGCGATGTTTACTACACACCACACCAGGAACTCATTTGAGGCTGAATCGACCTAGGGGAGGCCGGTTGAGATGATCGTCGCTGGAGTTGGCCGTGAGCGGGAGTCGAACTCGGGTCGCCCGACACACAATCCGCACACGTGTGCACACAAACCGTACATGCAGACACACGCACATGAAGGTACACGCGCAGACCCAAACGATACAACGCTAACCACACACCAAGATGCAGAACTGCTCTGTTCGGCCGGGTTGGTTTCTTGGTAACATAAACTTATATTCTTGGTTCTTTCGGTAAAGTCACGTAGAAGGGAAACAATAAAATAATACAAATATAAAACAATACAATTCTCACGACGTTTCGACTGCAACACAAGCAATCATCATCAGGTGTGAAAACCACAGCAAGAAAATTTTAAAAAAGTGGCGTTTTTTTTACGTTAGCACCACGGAGAGCGATTTGAGTGTCATTCAGATGGACAAGTCCATCTATGTTCGGAGAAGAGGAGGGGGTAGATGAAAATAATGGATGCGGTCTGAAAGCCACCGTAAGCGTGAACAATCAATTAAGACCCGAAATGGTTGATCAAATCCTTCCAATGATTGCTAAGCCAGAATCCATCTTCTCGCTTGAAATTGTCTCTGTGTTTGTATATGTGGATAGCCTCATGAACGAATCTCTCATGTTAGCCAGATGGCTTGCAAAGAACCTCTGTCTTGGAGAAGCCAATGTCATGTGAGCCTACTGAATTATAACCGTGATCTGCCACGGCCGAGGTGTTGGTCCTACCGTGTTTTAGGTCTGCTTTGTGTTCACGAATGCGGTCCGAGACATGTCGTTTGGTTTCTCCAATGTAACTACTACCACAGAGGCAACTTAGTTTGTAGACGCCAGGGTACTGTATGTCCGGAATAACATCTTTTACAGACGGAACCAGATCACGGATTTTATGTAATGTGTTGAATCGGACCTGGATCTTGTGTTTATTCAAGATTTTGGAGATCTTTTTTATGATCCCCGCAATGTAGGGTAAAGTGATGGTTTTGAAAGGCTTTCAAAAGCCATCTGGCTACCATGAGAGATTCGTTCATGAGGCTATCCACATATACAAACACAGAGACAATTTCAACCGAGAAGATGGATTCTGGCTTTGCAATCATTGGAAGGATTTGATAAACCATTTCGGGTCTTAATTGATTGATCACGCTTAAGGTGGCTTTCAGACCGCATCCATTATTTTTCGTCTCCCCCCTCCTCTTTTCCGAACATAGATGGACTCGTCCATCTGAACAAACTGCCAAATCGCTCTCCGTGGTGCTAACGTTAAAAAATCGCCACTTTTTTCAAATTTTCTTGCTGTGGTTTTCACACCTGATGATGATTGCTTGTGTCGCAGTCGAAACGTCGTGAGAATTTTATTGTTTTATATTTTTATTATTTTATTGTTTCCCTTCTACGTGACTTTACCGAAAGAACCAAGAATATGAATCCCTGCAGTCACGAAAGCTTTAAATCAAAACATAAACTTAACTTTTTATTTTACCAGGTCATGCCCACAGTTCTGCTCTTTTTCAGGAGCGACCTGGCTATCACAAACGATAGCCCGATGAAGTGGCTTGTCATCACGTGGAAATTTATATCACCCAAATCCTCTAAACGCATGTTTCTAAATGTGGAGGGAAAAACTAGAGGACCCAGAAAAAAATCCACGCGATCACGGGGGGAGAGACACCACAAACTCCAAATATACAGCAGCAGGCGTCAGGGTCAGAATCGAACCCACGACCTCGTGTATACCAGGCGAGGGAGTTAACATCTCCTAGCCACCGCGGCACCTAAAATAAAGTGTTTCCGCCCGGTTACTAACCGGGGAATCTTTTGCGTGCAAGACGAACGTGATAACCATTACACTACGGAACCTACTTGCTGTACTGCCTCCACTCAGGTGTCGTTCTCCGATGACGTGGATGCGAGGTCGCTCTCAGCGGAGCCGAGCGAGGCTCTGGCGGGAGAGGGCCGGGCCAGGAAGCTCAAGCGGCCCGTGTCGACATTTCGGGGGCCTCTGCTCAACATCAGGTACCCACGGTGCCCGAGTGGTCCCCTGTGCGTCTCCGCGTTGTCTCCGCGTTGTCTCGGCGTTGTTTCCACGTTGTTTCCACGTGTCTCCACGTGTCTCCGCATGTTCCACTGTCACCTTGTCTCCATGTCGGCCCCATGGCTCCCTGTCTCCGTCTCCTCACGTATCTGTATGTCATGTCTCTAATGCCTGTGTCTCCACCTCGTGTTTCTTTAACTCCTCCCTGTCCCTGTGTCTCCCCGTGTCTCCCCGTGACCCCCGTGTCTCCCTGTGTCTCCCCGTGACCCCAGCCCAGCAGAGGAGCTGCAGTTTGGTTCTCGCGAGAGCGGCGGGGACACGAAGTGTCTCATGGTGCTCACCAACGCCACGCAGGCGCCAGTTGCGTTCAAGGTGGGAGGGGGGAACCGAGGAAGGAACGAATGAGCAGACGAATTAATAAATGAGCGAATGCGTGGTTGACCTGCCAAGTGAGGGAGCGAAAATGGATGATCTTGGTCGCGAAAGCCTGCGTGTTAAACTGGATTGAGTGAGCGAGCAAAAAGAACGAGCAAGTGATTCGGTGAATGAGTATACAGGCAATGGAGTGACTGAGTGAGTGAATGAATTGTAGAGAGAGCGAATCATTGAATCGGCAAGTGAATTAATGAATAAGCGAGTTAAAGAATGAAAAGGGGTGTGCGAGTTAATGAACCACGGTCAAAACGATTGAGCGAGTGAATAAATCGACGAGAGTGACTGAATGAGCTAGCATGCGATGGGTAGAAGACTGACCGGGCGAACGTGCAAGCGACAACAAACGGTGGCGTGCGGATGAACAAACGAACGAACGAAGGAGCTAATTCATTTCCCGTCCCCTCCGCGCAGGTGAAGACCACGGCACCGGAGAAATACCGCGTGAGGCCGAGCAACGGCAACCTGGAGCCGGGCGCCTCCTGCGACGTCCAAATTGCCCTGCTCAGCAGTGAGTGAGCAAGCGGGCGGGCGGGCGGGCGGGCGAGGGCAGCCACTGCCACCCCAACTCTCCGTTCCGCCTGCTCCCCTCCGCTCCCCATTTGGCTCCACGCTTTGCAGCAAGAGAGGCCCGGGTTTGATTCCCGACTCGAGCGCCTCTCTCTGCGTGGAGTTTGTCTTCTCCCCCCCTGTCCTGCAGAGTAGGTGTCAGAGTGTAATGTGATTTGGCACAGTTGGGGGTACAACTGGTGTGCATCTGGCAGTCATCTCAATCAGTCAATCTGTGGCACCTGCTGGGTCTGTCCCGTGAGCTCCTGCCAGCGAGCCTTTGACACTTCACGTGGCCTCAAAGTGCTCTTGGCCTGGCACGGGCGCTGTGGTGACGTCGCCATCCCTTAGTGGCGAATGGCGGGTGTTGTTGTGAGTGTGTGATTGAGTGCGAGCGTGTGCGAGTAAGAAGGCGTCCGAGTGTGTGGGTGCGGGTGAGCTGTGGTGCAGCGGTTAGCACGCTGCGCTACGACCCGGTGAGCCGAGTTAGATTCCCATGCAGGACCAATAAAAGTGCCGAATATTTAAACAAGTCCTGGGCCTCGTGTAGGTCGACTCGGCCTTTAAATGAGTACCTGGTGCGATGTGTAAACATCACCACGAGGGAAACGGGCGGCCTGGGAGTGGTGCTGGCCACCCACCCCCTCGTGTGCCATGCCGGCCTTCATCGGTGCTACTCGCTAACAGCACTTGCCCCAATAGTCTGTTAAAGGCTATGCGTGGATCTTTGTCTTTGTGTAGGCAAGTGTGCGAATGAGCGAGTGAGTGGTTGTGGCCTGCGGTGTGGTGGCGGTGGTGAATGATACGTGACTGTGTCTGCTAGGATGAGTCCTCAACACGAGTGGAGGAATCTACGAGTTGGAGTCGATAGGAATAGTAGTCCACCATGGCGGTAGCGATAGCGGAGGGTCGTAACGACACACAGTTACGAGTGAAGGCAAACTCGTTATTTTGATAAACCACTTTGAGCTACCATTTGTGGCCAGGTCGCTTCTGAAATATAAGTTAACACTTGGGTGGGCTTTACCTGGTTAGATAAAAAATAGTTTAGTTTTATTTGTATATTATAAGTGCCTTGTTTATCTTGGCCTATACTTTGCACCCCTATCGTCTTTTTTATTCTTTGTTGTAACGTTCTTACCCCGTGCCCCCTACTGGACATCTGTGAAAAGAGCTTTTTAGCTCATCGGATTCCTCCGGTATGGAATAAAATTCTTCCTCTTCTTTTGTTCGCGATGTTCCGTGTGTGGGCCTAGGCTACGAGGCCTCGCAGCTGGACAAGTTCCAGGTGATCGCGGCAGAGGTGAAGGAGGAGGTGGTGGGAGCGGTGCCTTTCGACCTCTCCGCGTTTTGGAAGAACGTGCCAAGGCAGAGCCTCGTGGAGCACAGGTTGTGTGTGTGTGCGTGTGTGGTGTGACCGGCTCCAGCTTAACAGCAGAGATCTCACTCCGAATCAGTCGAGCGGCAATATCTTTTCATCGGTTGCGTAACGCTGTATGGAAGCTACTTGGTCTGTCGCTCCGCACGAAGCTTCAGGTCTTCTCGGCCACGGTCATTCCCTCCCTTCTCTACGCTTGCGAAACGTGGACCCCCCTAATAGAACATCTTCACCGGTTATAAACATTTAGGCTAGCCTGCCTACGATCCATCCTGGGTTTAACCAGGCTGGATTGTGTGAGGAGCTCACAAACCCTTGAAAGATCTGGGCAAGGTCCCATCGCTGAACTCCTCCGGCGGGCAAGGCTGCGTTGGCTGGGTCATGTAGCCTGCATGCCCAGCCACCGCATGCCGAAACAGCTTTTGTTCGGCCGGATCGAGGGGGCTAAACGGGCGCGGCACGGGCTAGAGAAGAGATGGAGTGATGTGGTACAGGAGGACGTGGAGCTGAGTGGACTTGCCGATGATCGGTACCAGCGGTGTCAAGATCGGCCTCTGTGGTGGAGGCTCGTGAAGGACGCTACTGGGCAGTTGGAGGCAGTTGCTCTCCAACAACAACGGAGGACGGAGGAGCGACGCTCACAACAACGAGCGGAGCGCCGGGTGGCTAAAGCACAGCAGGTTGGCACAGTAGGGGGCACAGGTGGTGCATCACCCAGCCATCTCAGTCATCTTAGTCAGTCGACGCGTGGCACTTGGGTCTGCCCCGTGACCTCCTGCCAGCGGGCGTTCGACACTTCACGTGGCCTCAAGGTGCACATGGCCTGGCACAAGCGTCGTGGTGACGTCACCGCCACTTCGTGGCGAATGGCGGTTATTATGTGCGTGTGTGGTGTGCGTATGTGGTGTGCGTGTGTAGTGTGTTGTGTGCATATATGGTGTGCAATGTGCGATGTGTGGCCTTCATGTATGTATGTTGAACTTTGCTCCATACATAGCCAACCGTGCTCATCGGAGAAGGTGCAGCTCACTAAAAGCATTTGCCCTGGTAGTCTGTTAAGGCTTTACGGGGGACCTTTGTTCTTGTGGTGTGTGTGAAGTGGTAGTATAGCGGTTAGCGTGCTGCGCTACGAACCCTGTGACCCAAGTTCAGTTCCCGCTCATGGCCACTAGCACCAGTGACGGTTATCTGAACCGATCCTGCGCCTCCCCTAGGTTGACTCAGCCTCAAATGAGTACCTGGTGCGGTGTGTAGTAAACATTGCCACTGGGGAGGCAAAGGCGGCCTGGTGTGGTGCTGGCCAGTCCACCCCCTCGTGTGCCGTGCCGCCTTCATAGGTGTTCGCTAAAAGCACTTGCTCCAATAGTCTGTTAAAGGCTATACGGTGGGACCTTTGTCTCTTGCGTGTGCATTGGCCAGTTAGCTCCTCGAACGGACGCGTTCCATGCCGGTTCATATTTAGCTCGCCACTGACATCAGCCCTGGCCTGGAGTCGAACACAGGTCACTGGGTTCAGGGGATGCAGCTGCAGTGGTGTCACGGTCCGTGGCGAAACTGGACTTGCAAACACGCAGGTCGCCGGATTGGGTTCCACCTCTGTTCCCCCCCCACCAGCCCACCTCTGTCCACGCAGCGGAGTGAATGGGTTTCACCACAGTTTAACACGTAGGAGTAGTAGCAGTAGGCTTTCCCCACCGATATTATCCATGATAGAGGTTTTATTTTTTGGGTTAGGTCACGTAAAACACCGCCACCACCAGAACCGGTAAGAGATATCCATTGTAATTTATATGAACACATTGAACCCGCCCCCTGGTTCCTCGCTCCTGATTGGCTCACAAGTGATGCCATCACATTTATCCCCCGTCCACATATCTGGCTACTGCCTGATGAGGCTGGTTGTTGCTGTAGTACTTCCTGGCGAAACGTCACGGCTACTCGAATTGTAAATGTCGTGGGTTTGCTCTCCAACACACAACCGGTGTGCGTTCTAAACTAGTAAAGAATCGGCACGTTCTGTTTACGTGACAACCCAACTGATTGGCCGTGTCGGGTGGTGGCGGGTTCAACGACACATTTATATTTACGCAATCTAACCCAAAAAACCATCTAGTGGATGGAGGCCGCTTGTGCCAGCAGTGGCGCGAGCGGATTTGTCTGCCTCGTCAGAGTGAATGTGAGCGGTGCGCACAAGGGAACGCCTCGCCGTGACATTTGAATGGTCGGGGCTGTTTGACCATACTTCACCACGCCGGTCAGTGGCAGGGGCGGGGGGGGGGGTGCAGCAGGGCGGTCGGTGATGGCTCGCGTCAGAAACAACGGAGGTTTTTTTCTGGGACGTTGCGCCGAGAGGTTGGCGGACCGCCGGATGCTTGCGTCGCGGAGGTCCCAGTTCGGCCAGCGATCTCTCACCGGCGCGCCCCTCGCCTCCCCTCTCCGCAGGCTGCGATGCCGAGTAGTTGCCGAGGCCCGTAACGGAGGCTTGAGCCGGGGGAGGCACAGGGACAGCCCGGGCGCAGGAGGAGGAGCAGGAGGAGCAGGAGATGGAGGAGGAGGAGGATTGGGAGAGGACAGGGATGAGCTCATGGCACAGGTACAGATGATTGTAATCAGCTGTCTGTGTCTCCACGTAGCGATCAAATAGACGCTCGGTCCGTCGCCTTGGAGTGGAGGCTTGCCAGGTCAATGCCGTCGAGCGGCAATTTTTTTTTAGCAAGCCGATATCCGGACGGGCTTCGACCTTCGTGGGTCTCATCAGTAGAATCAGGCTCGTTGAACAACTGCTGCACCGGGTTGCCACGTGTGAGTCTGTGGGAGGGTGGCTGGGAGACGAGCAGGGCTTGAACCCAGCACCTCGGCAGGATTTTTTAAATTCACGATTAACGAGCACAGGCCTGACGCTCCCTAAACGCCAAGCGGACGGTAACAACCAGCATCGGTGGTGGAGGTCTTGGAGGATGCGAGTTTATGTATTTTTGTGAATTGAGCTGGGTTATTGTTATTCTTGTTATTGTTGTAAGAGCTTGGGGGAAAGAGACGGTGGGATGAGGGAATTGTAGAGTGGAGCCGTGGGAGGGGACAATGCAGAAGTGGCGAGTGAGTGGATGAATGGGGGGGTGAGTGTGCTGTTGTAACCTGCAGTGTGGTGGTGGTGGTGGTTGAACACAGAGTGGTGGATTAGCCAGACTCGGTCCATGTCTGGTCCTCAACACAGGCGGAGGAATCGACGAGTGAAGTTCGGGTGTGGTAGCGATGGAAGATTGTGAAACCCAGCTGTGCCGCTCACGTGTTCCGCTCACGTGTTCCGCTTACCTGTTCTGCTCACGTGGTCCATTTACCTGTTCCGCTCACGTGGTCCACTCACGTGTTCCGCTTACCTGTTCTGCTCACGTGGTCCATTTACCTGTTCCGCTCACGTGGTCCACTCACGTGTTCCGCTCACGTGTTCTGCTCACATGTTCCGCTCACGTGTTCCGCTTACCTGTTCTGCTCACGTGGTCCACTCACATGTTCCGCTCGCATGTTCCGCTTCGCATGTTCCGCTCGCATGTTTCGCTCGCATGTTCCGCTAACGTCTTTCGCTCGCATGTTTCGCTCACGTGTTTCGCTCACGTGTTCTGCTCACATGTTCCGCTCGCATGTTCCGCTGACATGCTCCGCCTATACCCCTCCCCCCGATCTCCGCAGATGGCCTCTGTGATGGGGTCGATGCAGCAGCTGCGGCTGTCAGTTCGGGAGCTGAGTCAGCAGAATCAGCGCGTGCTGTGGCTGCAGAAGCTGCTCGTGCTGCTTCTGCTGCTGTCGCTGCTGCTGCTGGTCTGGCTCGACGGCTCGCCCGGCATGGCGGACTTGGCGACTACGCACGACCTCTGATGGACGTCTGGGCTGGGGGAGGGGGAGGGGAGGGGAGAGGGGGGGCGTGAAGCGATGAGACGGCGTGTCGGAGGACGGTGATGGGGGTGGCCGACTGCTCGAGACGGCGGCTGCGACGTTGGTAGTAGCGATAGCCGAGAGACGGGGAGGAGACGGAGCGACGATGGGAAAGGGGCCGTGGTGACGTAGGTCGCTGTAACAGAGAGACGGGGAGATAGAGCGGCGGATGAGAGATCAATTGTAGTGATGATGACCGTGATGATAGCAGCAGTATCAAAGAGACAAGGAGCCCACAGGCAGGCGGACAAACCGATGATGAAAGTCTGCGTGTGTAAACTCACCGATCGGTTTCCCCGCACCTCCGATTAGCAATGTCGGCTACGTTCGTTGCCAAAGAAGTTCAACGTACATACGCACGTACACACGTACGCACGTCCTCACCACGTACCAACTTGACGTCACACGCGGTGAACGAGCGAAGAGACGCGCGTGTAACGATGAAAACGATTCGCCCCGTTTGGCTCAGATTCGGATGCCTTCTTGTGAAGCCACCGTATTCGTGGCCTGACGGCTCGGCACCGGCAAAATCACCCCGGTGGAAAAAGTTCACCGTGAAGGGTGCCGTGTTGGCTCGGCTCGAATGCGGCAGTGGAAAAAGGCTATGTGGTGGAGGGGGGGGGGGCGTGTAGCACCACGGTGGGTAGGAGATGTTAACTCCATCGCGTGGTATGCAGGAGGTCGTGGGTTCGCGCCCGACCCCAATGCCTGCTGCTGTATATTTGGAGTTTGTGTGTGTCTCTCTCTCCCCGTGGTTGCATGGATTTTTCTCTGGGCCCTTCAGTTTGTTTCCCTCTACGTTTAGAAACAACACCACCACGCGTTTAGACTATTTGGCTGCTGCTATAAATTTCAACGTTCTGATGATCCCCCACTTTGAGCTATCAATTATCGCCAGGTCGCTTCTGAAAAAAAAGCCATACAGCTCAGAGTGGGCCTTACCTGGTAAAATAATTAAAATTGTTTAGCTTATAGTTTAGTCGCGTGAGCAGGGCTGGTTTGCGCCGGCCCTGCGATGCAGAAAATAACTCGCGAACGTAGCGCACCACAGCCACATTGCCTCTGACCATGGCTACTCGGTCGCATTCCTATTCCGGTTTACCAGAGACCCAGACAAATATAATCCGTGATGAATGAAGCCCTGCTCATGAGCTCTGTGGGAGCTTGGGGAATGCATTCCAGTTGACGTGATGTATGTACCTGTATGTTGAAATTCTTTTGCAGCGTACGTAGCCAACCGTGCTAATTGGAGGTGCGGGGGAAGGACAACAAACTAAACACAAAAAGCAGTTCTAAAGGAATGAGCTGTAAATTTAGAAAGTATCTTGCAGAAAGAGAGAGCAGTCAGAGGCCTGGATAAATTGAGATTAAACACATTTATTGCCGATGGGCTGTTAGTTGGGTATATTTTTGATGGACATTTCCCATTACAGAGATTTATTTTTACTAAGTCTGGGCATACTTGCCCGTTGAGCCAGTGGTGTAAATTCCACAGTTCCTTGGTAGGGCCCAGAACATCTGCATGACAACCACTGGTGACCTGACACAAGGTGGTGCTACCAATTGTATTGATGTCAGAAAGTTGATGATTATGATGATCGATTGACAATGATTGATGGTGATAAAAATGTATGATAAATGATGATAAAAATTGACTCCTGACCAGGATTTGAACTTTTGTGTCACCTTCCGACTTGGGAGTCGGATTTTGTCTACTAACGCTCTGGGTACCGAGGGGGATGACATAAAACGGTTTCGCGGTAAATACAGTAAGGGAAAAAAATATTTGATCCCCTGCTGATTTTGTACGTTTTCCCACTGACAAAAGAAATGATCAGTCTATAATTTTAATGGTAGGTTTATTTGAACAGTGAGAAACAGAATAACAACAAAAAAATCCAGAAAAACGCATGTAAAAAATGTTATAAATTGATTTGCATTTTAATGAGGGAAATAAGTATTTGACCCCCTCTCAATCAGAAAGATTTCTGGGTCCCAGGTGTTTTATACAGGTAACGAGCTGAGATTAGGAGCACACTCTTAAATGGAGTGCTCCTAATCTCAGCTTGTTACCTGTATAAAAGACACCTGTCCACAGAAGCAATCAATCAATTCGATTCCAAACTCTCCACCATGGCCAAGACCAAAGAGCTCTCCAAGGATGTCAGGGACAAGATTGTAGACCTACACAAGGCTGGAATGGGCTACAAGACCATTGCCAAGCAGCTTGGTGAGAAGGTGACAACAGTTGGTGCGATTATTCGCAATTGGAAGAAACAGAAAAGAACTGTCAATATCCCTCGGCCTGGGGCTCCATGCAAGATCTCACCTCGTGGAGTTGCAATGATCATGAGAACGGTGACGAATCAGCCCAGAACTACACGGGAGGATCTTGTTAATGATCTCAAGGCAGCTGGGACCATAGTCACCAATAAAACAATTGGTAACACACTATGCCGTGAAGGACCCCGCAAGGTCCCCCTGCTCAAGAAAGCATATACACATGCCCGTCTGAAGTTTGCCAATGAACATCTGATTGATTCAGAGGACAACTGGGTGAAAGTGTTGTGGTCAGATAAAACCAAAATGGAGCTCTTTGGCATCAACTCAACTCGCCGTGTTTGGAGGAGGAGGAATGCTGCCTATGACCCCAAGAACACCATCCCCACCGTCAAACATGGAGGTGGAAACATGCTTTGGGGGTGTTTTTCTGCTAAGGGGACATGACAACTTCACCGCATCAAAGGGACGATGGACGGGGCCATGTACTGTCAAATCTTGGGTGGGAACCTCCTTCCCTCAGCCAGGGCATTAAAAATGGGTCGTGGATGGGTATTCCAGCATGACAATGACCCAAAACACACGGCCAAGGCAACAAAGGAGTGGCTCAAGAAGAAGCACATTAAGGTCCTGGAGTGGCCTAACCAGTCTCCAGACCTTAATCCCATAGAAAATCTGTGGAGGGAGCTGAAGGTTCGAGTTGCCAAACGTCATCCTCGAAACCTTAATGACTTGGAGAAGATCTGCAAAGAGGAGTGGGACAAAATCCCTCCTGAGATGTGTGCAAACCTGGTGGCCAACTACAAGAAACGTCTGACCTCTGTGGTTGCCAACAAGGGTTTTGCCACCAAGTACTAAGTCATGTTTTGCAGAGGGGTCAAATACTTATTTCCCTCATTAAAATGCAAATCAATTCATAAAAATTTTGACATGCGTTTTTCTGGATTTTTTTGTTATTCTGTCTCTCACTGTTCAAATAGACCTACCATTAAAATTATAGACTGATCATTTCTACGTCAGTGGGCAAACGTACAACATCAGCAGGGGATCAAATACTTTTTTCCCTCACTGTAGATTTATTTTCCTTGATATAAGATTTCAAAGCTCGATTCTATCGAATCGATGGTCGTTGTTTAGCTGGGTGAAGAGAACTCGCTGAGGTCTGTCGATGCAAGGGAGCCCCGCCGGTGAAGTGTAAGCCAGGGAGAGTTTGTTCCTTACATTTTGTTTCTAACAGTTCAGCGACGGGGTTCTGACGAACCACACGAAGGTAACGTGCTCGGGGTGACGACGCTTTTGAATTAAGTGCCCCGGTAACTCATAATTGGGAGGGCGGCGCAGCGCCCAGCGTGATGATTGCGTTCCGCTTGATCATTTTGTTTTCAAAGCGGGGGGTGTCGAACGACCCCCGCTCCGGGCGCCGGGCCGACTGCGCTGTGGCGTCGTCGCGGCCGAGAGCCCGTGATGTTGACGTTCTCTTGATTCTCGCTGCCCGAGGCTACGTGCGTGTATCGGACCGCCCGTGACGGCTACAAGACAGCGGCTGTCGAAACACTGATCCTATACCTGACACGGCTCGTTAGCGTTGTTAAACGAAAACCGGTCGACTGTTCGGTGACTCTCAAAGTCGGTCACCGGTTCCGAAAGTCAGGCACCGGTCACCGATTCCAGTGGCGTTACACTCGCGACTGCACCAATTTCATTAAAAAAAATGTGCCCCATTTCAAGCGTCTGCGCCGGTGAGGTGGAACCTAACCCCGGCCGCCTCTGCGTTGCAGGTCCGTTGTTCAAACCGTTACACCGGTGTGGCAGCTCCCTTCCTCGTCTCTCAGTTGACGGGAAGGTACTTTTTTAATATGTAAATAGAATTTCTAATGTGCGGCAAACCAGCGATGGGGTTTTTTACCGGGTTGATTCCCGCCACCATGCGATCTTAAACCCGACTGCTACTGACCCAGCGGCATCAACATGGGGCAGAGAGCCGAGCACGTTTCTGTGAGGCTCAACCGGGGACGCGCGGTGGTGGTGCTGGTGACGAGCCGGAGGTAACCCCTCCCACCATCTCGTTTTGTTGTTGGCCCTCGCTTGGCGTCGTCTTCGCGCGTGATTTTGGGGGAAATGTGAATGTTCGTGAACCCTTGGCGGTCGATGTCGCGGAGCAAAAACAATGGGAGAGTGTGCGGGTTTTCATTGATCCACTGCTGGATGAAGGTTCTCCCAATGCTGTGTAGGTCGCGATGGTTGTCCAGTGAGGGATTGGTGAAGGGAGTGGATGGAGGATTTCTGCTGCTGGACCGCTTTAGATATCTGACCCAGCGGCATCAACATGGGGCATCAACATGGGGCAGAGAGCCGAGCACGTTTCTGTGAGGCTCAACCGGGGACGCGCGGTGGTGGTGCTGGTGACGAGCCGGAGGTAACCCCTCCCACCATCTCGTTTTGTTGTTGGCCCTCGCTTGGCGTCGTCTTCGCGCGTGATTTTGGGGGAAATGTGAATGTTCGTGAACCCTTGGCGGTCGATGTCGCGGAGCAAAAACAATGGGAGAGTGTGCGGGTTTTCATTGATCCACTGCTGGATGAAGGTTCTCCCAATGCTGTGTAGGTCGCGATGGTTGTCCAGTGAGGGATTGGTGAAGGGAGTGGATGGAGGATTTCTGCTGCTGGACCGCTTTAGATATCGCAGAGGAGATCGTCTCGAGATGTGACTCTGTGGTTTCTGCTTTCCTGGGCCATCCTCGGAACGCGACGGGGGGGGGGGGGGGGGGTTACACCGCTCTGCGGGATTTCCGAATGGGATCCTTCGTCTTGTGATGCCGTGACCGCGGATGGCACAATCTGTAAAAAAACTAAAAACCTGGGTGGGCGTGCTCAGTCGGGGGACGACGGCAAGCGGTGGAGACTCACGATGGAGGGGGGACGTGCGCCCGAGAAGAACGTCCATCGCAGAGACGTCGGAGTGGTGAAATCTGCTCGTGCGCGGGAGCTTGGGTGATCATTTGCAATCCCGAGCCTACGTGGCGGCGACGGTTTGGCTGTGGCTATTCGTTCCAGCAGTCGATTGATCGTGGCAAATTAAGTATTGCCTGTGCTTATACACGCGCACACACAGACACACACCTACGCGCATATCCACTGGGGATGGTCAAGGTGGTGGATGGGATTATATATTAAACACGTTGCATAAGTTTAAGGTTACATTTTTTGCAAAAGCTCGAGTGGGTTAATTTGAGGTCGGTTTAAATCCAGGGCCGTTTTCTCTGGGTCATAATGACGCCCTCCCCCCCCCCCCCCTGTAATTTAAAACTCAAGTTTGGGGTGTATCCTACAATCCGGTAGGTGCGTGTGTGTAGGTGGAGAGCGGTGGTGTAGCGGTTAGCGCGGTGCGCTATGAACCCAGCGACCCGATTTCGATTCCCGCTCATGGCCAACACCGGTGACGATTATCTGAACCGGTCGTGGGCCTCCCCTAGATCTACTCGGCCTCAAATGAGTACCTGGTGTGGTGTGTAAGCATCGCCACTGGGGAGACAAAGGCGGTCGGGCGTGGTGCTGGCCACCTACACCCGCGTGTACCGTTCCGGGCTAAATAGGTGCTCGCTAACAGCACTTGCCCCAAGAGTCTGTGAAGGCTACACGGGGATGTTTGTGCGCGACATTAGATTAGTGGAACTTTATCGGCAGTGGGCACGAGTTTAGGGACGCATCTTTTTTTTTTGCTTCCCAGAGCGTCTTAATAATCCTGGAGAATCCGATCGTTGAATACGTTTACAGAAATGTGAACTTCGTGTACCGTTGTTGTCTCATTTTCAATAAATGTTGGGACTTTTCAAATCATTACTCAGACTGCTGCTTGTCGTGCGTGCGTATATCGACGAAGATGACTCGATCGATGACAATTTCAGCCACCTGCACCACATCCCTGGCACCGCGTGATTGGCAAGATGTCTTGGTGAGTGGGCCCTCCATTTTAAGACCACGCCGATTGCAACAACGACGATGATCGGAACATCTCCCTCGGTGTGTCAAGAAAATGATGAAACCATTTTTATATTTTACCAGATAAGGCCCCAACTGAGATGTTTAGCTCGTTTTCAGATGCGACCTGGCCATCACAATTAATAGCTCAACGGAATGGATTATCATTGCGTGAAAATGTATAGCAGCCAAATGCTCTAAACGCGTGTTTTTTAATGGGGAGGGCAAACCCGAAGGCCCCGGAGAAATTCCCACGGGAAGAACGTGAAAACTGCAAATATACAGCAGCAGCAGGCGGCATACAGGGTTGGGATCGGACCCACGACCTCCTGTACACCAGGCGAGGCGGTTAATATATCTCGCCACGGTGGTGAGATGAGCGAGAACTCATCCTTGCCAGGATCTTTCCTGGCAAGGATGAGTCGCCTCCTTACCAGACACGCGCTGAGGAGGAGAGGCTTGCGGAGCCCCAATGTCTGCTGGTGTCACACCTTGACGCCACGTTGTGTTCGCCTGCTGCAGCAGCGGTGTAGGGAATTCCTGCCAGGTTTTCGCAGTAGGGAGGATGGAGGGAGGGAAGGATTGGTGATCGCCGTGTAAATTCCAATCAAGAAAATTTCCGAATTCATTTTCAAACGTTCACTGATATAAAACATCGGGAGAAGAACAGTCGGGCTCAAAAGTGTAACAAAAATAATCGGGATGTTTTGCGTATTTATTAAACCAATTAAATGGAGACGTCTTAACCGATGTGGAATTTCAAATGGGATAACAAATTTTGAAAAAAATTCATACTCTGGGCTCGTCCGGGATTTGAACCCGGGACCTCTCGCACCCGAAGCGAGAATCATACCCCTAGACCAACGAGCCACGGATACCACCACCCCGCCGGGTCTCCCTCTTAACGCCACCATCTCACCCTCAGGTACCTTCCTCAATATTGGCCGTCGAGTTTAAAACGTGTTGTTGACAAACAAAAAAACAATAAACTTACGTTTCATCGTTTTATTTGTGTTCAATTGTAACAACAGACGGCTGTGTATGCGTTTAATAATAAATATATAATTCGGGCGAACTCCGCGGTGACGTCACGCCGCCACAACCCGGAAGTGACAACGTGGCAGACGAACGGTGAGTGATCCTCGCTCTCACCTCGCTCTCCCCTGACTCTCACACTCCCCTGACCCTCGCTCTCCCCTCGCTCTCCCCTGACCCTCGCTCTCCCCTCGCTCTCCCCTGACCCTCGCTCTCCCCTCACTCTCCCATGACCTTCGCTCTCCCCTGACCCTCGCTCTCCCATGACCCTCACTCTCCCCTCGCTCTCCCATGACCCTCGCCCCTGACCCTCACTCTCCCCTCGTTCTCCCCTCGCTCTCCCCTCGCGCTCCCATGACCCTCACTCTCCCCTCACTCTCCCCTGACCCACGCTCTCCCCTGACCCTCACTCTCCCCTCGCTCTCCCATGACCCTCACTCTCCCCTCGCTCTCCCCTGACCCTCACTCTCCCCTCGCTGTCCCCTGACCCCTGACCCTCACTCTCCCCTCGCTCTCCCCTGACCCTCGCTCTCCCCTGACCCTCACTCTCCCCACGCTCTCTCCTGACCCTCACTCTCCCCTCGCTCTCCCCTGACCCTCACTCTCCCCTGACCCTCACTCTCCCCTCGCTCTCCCCTGACCCTCGCTCTCCCCTGACCCACGCTCCCCCCTCGCTCTCCCCTGCCTCTCTCCTGACCCACGCTCTCCCCTGCCTCTCTCCTGACCCTCACTCTCCCCTCGCTCTCCCCCGCACCGCTCGTTGCGTGTGGACTGTTGAGTTCTCCACGAGTCCCAACTGCGGCCGCCGCCGAGATTCGAGGCGAGGTCGTGGCCACGTGGAAGGGCCCCTGCCTGTGCTGCTGCTGCTGCCGCCGTTATTCGGAATGTATCGGCTGTCCTCGTATCTTGTCCAGGGAGGCCTATACTGACGGGCCCTGCCTTTGTGTGAGCCTGCCACTTTGTCGTCCTTCCGTCAGCACGGTTGGTTACGTACGGTGCGAAAGAAGTTGAACATACTGTACATACAGTAGGCCCAGCATCGTCACCACGAGCGGCATCGGCAGACTGAACACCGTCGTCATCATCAGAATCGTCAAAGATCCCCCGTATAGCCTTTCACAGACTCGGGGCAAGTGCTATTCTGAAGGTCAGCAGCACCTATGAAGGGTCAGCACGGCACCCGAGGGACATCTGTGAAAAGAGCTTCATAGCTCATCGAATTCCTCCAATCTAAATAAAGATTCCGATGGGGGTGGGTGGCCAGCACCTCGCCCGACTGCGTTTGTCACCGATGTTAACACATCACATCAGGTACTTAATTGAGGCTGAGTCGACCTAGGGGAGGCCCAGGACCGGTTGAGATAATGGTCACCGGTGTTGGCCGTGAGCGGGGATCGAACTCGGGTCGCCGGGTTCGTGGCGCGGCGCGCTAACCACTGCACCACCGCTCCCCATATCGCCACCACCATGCTCTTCATCATCAGCAGCGACTCTATCACAGGAGTCTTCCCGTCATCATCAGCAGCAGCCTCACTGTCATAGTCATCATCAGCAGCGACTCTGTCACAGAAGTCTTCCCGTCATCATCATCAGCAGCAGCCTCACTGTTATAGTCATCATCAGCAGCGACTCTGTCACAGAAGTCTTCCCGTCATCATCAGCAGCAGCCTCACTGTTATAGTCATCATCAGCAGCCTCACTGTTATAGTCATCATCAGCAGCGACTCTGTCATAGAAGTTTTCCCGTCATCGTCAGCAGCAGCAGAGTTTACGAAGTTGTTGAGCAAACTGTCCAGGATTGGCTAAAAGCTCGCCCACTTTTCACCCTGGCAACTGGGGAGCCGCACAGACGAAGCGTTACTAAGCTCAGTACAACTAACGACAACATATTCAAGAAGAGACACACGACATATATGCTGTTAGAAAGAGGGATAAAAATTACTCTTAATTTTTCAACTTCACCGCCATCGTCGATAATCATCACCATCAGGGCCATCGTTTGCATCGTCATCTTTTACTCTCATCACGGGCGGCGACGCGGCCCAGCGGTTTGCTAGCACGTCGTTTTGGTTATGACTGTGGTGCCTGTAAAGCCATAAACTCGCTCCCACTCACAGCGGACGTTTAAGATGCCGCGACCCCATTTGAAAGCGCAGGCCACCGTGTGCCGTGTGGTGCCCGTGGAATGGTCCAAGTTTGCCACGCATTTAAAATATTTGACGATTCCGAATTGTACCCGGCAATCATAGATGGATGGATGGGTGCGTCGTGGGAGGGTGAGAGTGTGAATGTGTGGACGGGCTGAGTGAGCAAGCGAGTGAGCGTGTGGGTGGTGCTGCGTGAAGACGTTTGGCACGGTGTGGATGTTAGGCGTGTGATCGTTTCAACAATTACCTCTCTGTGAAATTAATATGCCCACTGAGTCAGCGCAGCGTTTATAGATGCAGTCACATTTAAAGAATATGTACATCTGGAAAGGTTGCACATAGAACAAGACATAATGCAGGCGGTGATGGCACTCATAATAAAGGTTTTTTGGGTTAGATTGCATAAATATAAATGTGTCGTTAAACCCGCCACCACCCGACACAGCCAATTAGTAAGGTTTGTCACGTAAACAAAGCGTGCCAATTCATCACGAGTACAGCACACCGGTGTGTTGGAGAGCAAATCCACAACATTTACAATCTGAGTACGACGTTTACAATTAATAACAACCAGCTTCATCAGGCGACAGCCAGATATTGGTCGCGAAAGCCTCCTCCTCCTCCGTGTTAAACCAGTGACGGCACTATTTGGCCACGCGTAGGATGGACAACAACAGGAAAATTAAAGGTGACTTGTTGGGAAAAATGGAAGGATGCGGAAAGAGGGGAAGACCTTACAGAGAATGGCTTGATTGCGATATCAGAGATTGGTGCCAGGAAGATGTGGCCACCTAACGAGCACATTGGCACAACAAGACAGAGAGGAAAGTGAAAAGAAATGACGAAATGTGCAGTGGACATACCTGCTGGGGGCTGTCTGCCCGTGGATCGTGATGATGAGGTGATGACGACATTTGGAAGGCCTCTCCTGAAAACGAGGCCCGAGACTCGGTGAGGATTTCCTGGCCGGGGTAAAAAGTCATCGCTAGGCCTCGGCATGATGGAAATCCCGCATGTGTATATGTTTGACTCTGTGTGTGTGTGTGACTCTGTGTGTTTGTGTGACTGTGTGTGTGTGACTGTGTGTGTGTGACTCTGTGTGTGTGTGACTCTGTCTGTGTGTGTGTGTGTGTGACTCTGTGTGTGTGTGTGTGATTCTGCAGGTTGCAGCATCGACCTGTAAATCCGGCACCATGTTTGGAGATTACGGATCCTTCTTTAAAGGTAAATCCAGCCAAGATCTACAGGTTAAACCCAGCCATGAACTACAGGTTAAAGCCAGCCACGATCTACAGGTTAAACCCAGCCATGAACTACAGGTTAAACCCAGCCATGAACTACAGGTTAAACCCAGCCACGACCTACAGGTTGAATCCAGCCAAGATCTACAGGTTAAACCCAGCCATGAACTACAGGTTTAATCCAGCCAAGATCTACAGGTTAAACCCAGCCATGAACTACAGATTAAATCCAGCCATGAACTACAGGTTAAACCCAGCCATGAACTACAGGTTAAACCCAGCCACGACCTACAGGTTGAATCCAGCCAAGATCTACAGGTTAAACCCAGCCATGAACTACAGGTTAAATCCAGCCAAGATCTACAGGTTAAACCCAGCCATGAACTACAGATTAAATTCAGCCATGAACTACAGGTTAAACCCAGCCATGAACTACAGGTTAAACCCAGCCAAGATTTACAGGTTAAACCCAGCCAAGATCTACAGGTTAAACCCAGCCATGAACTACAGGTTAAATCCAGCCAAGATCTACAGGATAAACCCAGCCATGAACTACAGGTTAAACCCAGCCATGAACTACAGGTTAAACCCAGCCATGAACAACAGGTTAAATCCAGCCAAGATCTACAGGTTAAACCCAGCCATGAACTACAGGTTAAAGCCAGCCACGATCTACAGGTTAAACCCAGCCATGAACTACAGGTTAAACCCAGCCAAGATCTACAGGTTAAACCCAGCCATGAACTACAGGTTAAACCCAGCCAAGATCTACAGGTTAAACCCAGCCAAGATCTACAGGTTAAACCGAGCCATGAACTACAGGTTAAATCCAGCCATGAACTACAGGTTAAACCCAGCCATGAACTACAGGTTAAACCCAGCCAAGAACTACAGGTTAAATCCAGCCATGATCTACAGGTTAAACCCAGCTATGAACATCAGGTTAAATCCAGCCAAGATCTACAGATTAAACCCAGCCATGAACTACAGGTTAAATCCAGCCAAGGTCTATAGGTTAAACCCAGCCAAGATCTACAGGTTAAACCCAGCTATGAACTACAGGTTAAACCCAGCCACGACCTACAGGTTAAACCCAGCCAAGATCTACAGGTTAAACCCAGCCATGAACTACAGGTTAAACCCAGCCATGAACTACAGGTTAAACCCAGCCAAGATCTACAGGTTAAACCCAGCCATGAACTACAGGTTAAACCCAGCCAAGATCTACAGGTTAAACCCAGCCATGGACTATAGGTTAAACCCAGCCAAGATCTACAGGTTAAACCCAGCCAAGATCTATAGGTTAAACCCAGCCATGAACTACAGGTTAAACCCAGCCATGAACTACAGGTTAAACCCAGCCAAGATCTACAGGTTAAACCCAGCCATGAACTACAGGTTTAACCCAGCCAAGATCTACAGGTTAAACCCAGCCATCCGTCCCTCGTCGTGGTGATGAGTCATGCCCACCGACCTTTCTTGGGCATGCACCCCATGATGGGCCAGGCTGTTGCCGGGTTGTAAATAAAAAGAGCGTCTTGGCCGTGAATGCCATTCTATGGAAATTTATGTAAGCCTCTGGAAGTAAAATGGGTCTCTGCGAGTCCGTAAAATTCAATAGGGCCCTGCGGTGGCGAGATGTTAACTACCTCACCTGGTATGCAGGATGTCTTGGGTTCGATCCCAACCGTGACGCCTGCTGCTGTATATTTGGAATTTGCGTGTCTCTGGATTTTTCAGCGGGTCCTCCGGTTTTTCCCTCCACATTCAGCATCGACATGTGATCAGAGTATTTGGCTGCTATAAATTTCCACACACGATGAGCCACTCGGTCGAGCTATGATTTGTGATCGCTAGGTCGTTACCTGGTAGAATAATATGAGTTGATAGTTACGTAGCCTCGTGTCTCTAAACGTGAGTGTGTCGCAATAAACCATTCACTCACCCACCCACCCACCCACTCAACACTCGCCCACCCACTCGCTCACTCACTCGCCTCCGCATCACCCTTCCATCGCCACCCCCGCGGTCCTCCGCGTGCGCCCGCCCCGGTGAACGCGTGCCGCCGCCCCCCCGCCCCGGCAGGCCTGCTGCTGGGCGCGCTGTGCTGCCTGCTGGCCACGATGGTCGGCAACGTCATCCACAGGAAACCCACGCCGGCCGAGCGCCGGCACGCGGATCACCCGCACGTGCCCGAGTCGGAGTCGTCCGAATCTCACGACCACCGCGGCCGCCACGACGACCTCCCGCCGCGGCAGCCGGAGCAGCGGCGGCGGGAGGCGAGCGAGGCGCTGCGCGTGCTCTGCATGGTGATGACCAAGCCCAAGACCCTGGGCCACTGGGCGGCGGCGCTGGAGACCTGGACGCGGCACTGCGACGGCACCGTCTTCTACAGCCCCGAGGAGGTGAAGGCCTACCGCTCGGTGGCGGTGGGCGCCGGGGACACGTGGTCGCAAACGGCGCGGGCGCTGCGGCACGCGTACGACGCCCACGCCGTCGTCGCCGATGGCGGGGAGGGCGCCGGCGAGGAGGGCGCCGGCGACCGCCGCCCGTTCGGCTGGTTCCTGCTGGTGCAGGACAGCACGTTCGCCATCGTGGAGAACCTCAAGTACTACGTGCACCGGCAGCAGCGCTTCCGGGACCCCGAGGAGCCGTTCTACGCCGGCAAAGTGGCGTCGGCCGGGGAGCTCAAGTACGCCGAGATGGCGGCGGGGCTGGTGCTGAGCCGCGGCGCGCTGCACCGGCTGCGCGCCGCCCTCGACGACCGTGAGCGCTGCCCCGAGAGCGGCGGCTTCCTCTGGAAGACCACGGCGGAGAAGCAGCTGGCGACGTGCCTGCTCAACGTCGGCGTGCAGGTGAGCCGCGCGGGGGACGGCGGCCGCGGGTCGGAGGTCGGAGGTCGGGCGGGGGCAGCGACGCGTGCGGCGGTGACCCGGCGTGGGCTGCCTGCGTCCGACCCCGGCCGGCCGAGGACCGACCCGTCACTCCGCCGGACGCACGGACGGGCGGATTCGGTCGTCTTCTGCGGGGCCCACACGCACCACCGTTTGGTTCCGCTTCCGGACTCGGCTCGACCAACGGCGGGCGAGACGAAAAGAGCTCCCGTGCCGCGCGGACGCCGCGCTGGGAAAGCGCCGACCGGCGCCAACCTCGGAGACCAAGTCCCTCTTGGCGTCCATAGGAGGGGGGCGCCGCTCTATCAGAAATATTTATCGTCGTCGCCCGTTGTCACATCCTCCCTCCCCTCATCTCCCTCCCTCCCCTCTCATCTCCCCCCGCGCTCCGTCCGCCAGGTGTACAACGCGGAGGACGCGGAGAAGCGGGAGCTGTTCAGCTCGCAGCACGTGGACAGGCTGGTGAGCGCGGCGATGCAGCGCGCGTCGGAGCGCGGGGAGGCCGCCGAGGGCTGCTGCTCCGACCTCGCCGTCACCTTCGGCGGCGTCTCGCCCAACCAGATGCGCGTGCTCATGTACGGCGTGTACCGCCTGCGCTCCTTCGGCCGCTCCTACGCCGACCAGCTCTACTTCCTGCCCGTGCCGGGCGCCGATAACGACTGAGGTGCGGCGGCGGCGGTGGTGACGACAACGATGATGGTGGCGGTGGCGGGGGTGATCATGGTGGTGGGGGGTGGGGGTGGTGACGATGATGAGGATGATGGTGGTGGTGGTGGGGGTGGTGGGGGTTGGGGGTGGGGGTGGTGATGATGGTGATGATGGTGACGATGATGACGACGATGATGGTCGTGGTGGGGGTGGTGGGGGTGATCATGGTGGTGGGGGTTGGTGGTGGTGATGATGATGAGGATGATGGTGGTGGTGGTGGGGGTGGTGGGGGTGATCATGGTGGTGGGGGTTGGGGGTGATGACGATGATGAGGATGATGATGGTGGTGGTGGTGGTGTGGGTGGTGGGGGTTGGGGGTGGTGATGATGGTGACGATGATGACGACGATGATGGTGGTGGTGGGGGTGGTGGGGGTGATCATGGTGGTGGGGGTTGGTGGTGGTGATGATGATGGTGGTGGTGGTGATGATAATGATGGTGGTGGTAGGGGTGATGATGGTGGTGGGGGTTGGTGGTGGGGGTGGTGACGATGATGACGGTGGTGGTGGGGGTTGGTGGTGGGGGTGGTGACGATGACGGTGGTGGTGGGGGTGATGATGACTGAGGGTGGTGGTGGGGGTGATGATGGTGGTGATGATAATGATGGTGGTGGTGGGGGTGATGATGGTGGTGGTGGTGATGATAATGATGGTGGTGGTGGGGGGTGATGATGGTGGTGGGGGTTGGTGGTGGGAGTGGTGACGATGATGACGGTGGTGGTGGGGGTGATGATGACAATGGTGGTGGCGATGGTAGTGGGGTTGGGGGTAAGAATGGGATGGGGTTGTGGGAAAGAAAAGAGCTTCGTTGTGGTGGTGCTGCCGGTGATGGTGATGATGGTGGCAGTAGTATCAGAAATAATACCGTCAGCAGCATCATCACAGTCATCATCATCAGTCGCATGCGAATACTGATGCTACTGATGATGATGATGATGATCGCCATCATCAACAAGTAATAGGGGTCGTTAAAATAATTGACACCACTTTGTGATAAGTTAACAGTGGTCATCTTGTGGATGTCCTGGCCCTCGCAAGGAATGTGGAATGCACCACCACCACTGGCCCCGGGGCCACGAATGGAGATGAGCACCGCCTGTGCGAGTCGGCGCTCCGTTGTGTGTTTATTAAACCAGCGGTTCTTCACCTGGGGTGCGTCACGCACACCGTGGGGGCGTGTGACGCCCTTACTGGGCGTGCGAGACGTGGACAGATCTTTTTAGAAGGTAAATCATTGAAAATACAAATTTAGCACGGGCACGTACGTCCAATTACCTTGTTTCATCAACCCCTATGTTTGTATTAACATCGTTCATTGTTTTAACGGTTGGGAACCAAAGGGGTGCAAGGCTGCAGTAAAGGTTAAGAACCGCTTCTTTAAACAGTTGAGAATCGAATGGGCGGAACGCTATCCGATTGGTCAAATTCGCATCACATGACCATGATACCTGAAGCTGCTTCTGGGCCCACGGGGCGGAGCGGAGGGCCCAGGGGCCGGAGGGAGGCCCAGGGGCCGGGCTATGAAGGGGTGTGGGGTGTCAGTGGTCTCCATGCGAGTCTAAGAGTATCTGTTAGTCTATGGGTCTCTATGTAAGTCAATGGGTCTCTGTATGGGTCTCTCTGTGAGTCACTGGGTCTCTGATTCAGTGGGTCTCTGTGCGAGTTTCAGAGTATCTGTGTGAGTCTATGGGTCTCTGAGTGAGTCTTTAGGGTCACTGTGAGTTTACAGGTTTCTGTGTAGGTTTGTATGCATGTTTACGGGTCTGTCAGTTTTACGGGTTTCTGTGTGAGTTTATGGGGCTTTGTGAGTCTATGGGTCTCTGCGTGAGTTTATGGGTTTCTGTGTGAGTTTATGGGTCTCTGAGTCTATGGGTCTCTGTGTGAGTCTATTGGTCTCTGCGTGAGTCTATGGGTCTCTGCGTGAGTCTATGGGTCTCTGAGTCTATGGGTCTCTGTGTGAGTCTATGGGTCTCTGCGTGAGTCTATGGGTCTCTGCGCGAGTCTATGGGTCTCTGCGCGAGTCTATGGGTCTCTGCGCGAGTCTATGGGTCTCTGCGTGAGTCTATGGGTCTCTGCGTGAGTCTATGGGTCTCTGCGTGAGTCTATGGGTCTCTGCGTGAGTCTATGGGTTTATGTGTGATGAGTCTATGGGTTTATGTGTGATGAGTCTATGGGTTTATGTGTGATGAGTCTATGGGTCTCTGCGTGAGTCTATGGGTCTCTGCGTGAGTCTATGGGTCTCTGCGTGAGTCTATGGGTCTCTGCGTGAGTCTGGGTTTCTCGGCGAGTCCGTGTGGGTCCCTCCAGCGGCGTACCGAGCTGGTGTGGAGGCGGTGCAACTGCACCAGGAGAGCCCCCTGCAATCCCAGCGACGCGCTGCGCCGCCGCTCCTAGCCCAGGCTGCCGAGCGCAGGCAATGCACGGCGCTAGGTCTGGGTGGCGAACGGCAAATCTGTCCCAAAGTGAATATTCGTTCTCCTGTTAAAATCTGCCGGCAATCTATTCTATTCTGATCCAATCTACGTATTTAATTTACCAGGTTAAGGTGAGGCAGCTGGCACGTTGCGCGGTTTGTGGCACAGTCACCCGCGCTCGTTCACTCCCTCTCCTGGTACGCAGCAGGTCGTGGGTTCGATCCCCACAACGACGCCGCCTGCTGCTGCTGTATATTTGGAGTCTGCGGTGTCTCTCTCCCCACGTTCGCGTGGATTTCTCTCCCGAGTCCTCCGGTTTTTTCCCCTCCACATTTAGGATCGACGTCACGCACTCAGAGTGATTGGCCGTTGACATATATATTTTGCCACGCTATAACAAGCCACTCCGTTGGTTTGTTGTCGCGTGGTTGCTTCTGAAAAAGAGCTGCACATTCGTCCGTCCGCCAATTTCTCCTGGTCGTGCAGCCCTCCGACGCGTTGCCATGGGGGGTCGCACCCCCTGCTCGCCGATCGGCACGACGTCAGAGGTTCTCCGGCTCCACGCGCCAGCCGGAGCTTCGTCAAAGGGACTGGACGCTGGACGCGGAAGTCATTTTGGTGAAAAACGATTCTTCTTCTTCGTGGGTTTGTTTTTGCCGGTTCCCGTACGTGTCCCCCTGCGCATCGACGATCCGGGGCGGGGCGGCCCCGCTCGCCGGCCACGCGTCCTGAGCCCGGCGTCCTGGGCCCGGCGTGACGCAGGCGATGGTGGTGACGACGTCGGTGGCGGCACCGATGCCTGCCCATCACCTCCTGTCCATCGGCACCGCGCGGAAACAGAGTTGAGACTTCCCCCTCCCCTCCCACCGCAGCTGTCGCGGTGCGATCCGACTGATCTGTAGAGCAATACTCAGGTGGTCACACCGGGAGGTGACTACTACGTGGAGGCTCCCCAACTGGACCACGAGGCCAGCTTGTTGTGGCCGTTGTTGTGGTTGTTTTTTGTGGGTTTTTTTTGGGCGGTCGCCGATTCCAACATTTTTGTTTGCGAGACACTGGAACACGGCGGCGCGTTGATTGCCACTCGTTCGGTTTTAAATTATGCAACGGCAAGGCTCGCCCGCGACACCATTGTAACGCGACGCGATGTTAACTTTCACGGCGTGACGGTGGTTGGCTTCGCCTCGACTCTTCAAATCGCGCCTCTCAACTTGCTTGCGTTTCGCGCGCCTTTGCCCGTGACTCGCTGCCGCAAATGTAAAGGGCGCCTTGCCTTAACGCCGTGCTCTGCAACGCACGCGGCTTCCCGTCTTACGAGGTGCAATTATAAAATATTTAATTACCTACTAACAGCAACAAGAAGCTACTTGATTCGTGGGCCTAGGCCCGGCAATGGGGCGACACCGTGTCGAGATGTTAACTCCCTCACCTGGTCTACGGGAGGTCGTGGGTTCGATCCCGACCCTGACACCTGCTGTATATTTGGAGTTTGCGTGTTTTTTTAATCCCCGGGTCCCTCCGGTTATTCCCTCCACATCTAGAATCAACGTCACACGTTTACGAGTATTTAGCTACTTTTATGAATGTCCACGTGACGATGATGATGACGATGATGCTATAAGCCACTTCGTTGAGCTACATAGCTCAGTGGACCTTACCTGGTAAAATAAAAACAGTTATTAGTTAGTACGGGACAGTGTTGCCTCCTTGCACTCCAGGGTTTTCTCCGACACGTACAAACGCTCATGAATTGAGAACATCTTAATATATATAGAGGATGGCAGAGCCGCGTTCAAAGTTATTATGTAACCCCCAAGCCGTCAATTTCTCCGGAATTACAACAACAAAAAACAGCTGTGGGATTGGTAGTGGACCTTTAATTTACAAATGTAATAACCGTCCTACAAAAAATTAAGTACTTTTTTAAATAAATTACTAAAAAGTACTAAAAATTAACCGAGGCACGAGAATCACGGGAATGGTATTTTACAAATCGGGGTGATACAATCGTCGCGGGCCGGGTATCGTACGACGCGGGGTTATCGTACGAAGCATCGTAGGGTATCGCAGCGAGCTTCGTGCTTGGATGATTGATGCAGGCCCGCGCAGCGGAATCGGCGTGCGCGCGCGGTGCCATCGAGCGTCCGGTCGCAACGTTCACGAGCGCGGGATCGCGACGAAGATTTCCACGCGGCAGTCAATTTAAAAAATAATGATAAAGCAAATTTTTATTTAAAGCTTTCGTGACTTCTAGATTTGAAGCTTTCGTGACTGCAAGGATCCATACTCTTTGGTTCTATTAGGTAAAGTCACGTAGGTAAAAAATAAAACAACAAAAATCACGACGTTTCGGCCACAACACAAGTGGCCTTCATCAGGTGAAGGGACCAGACTGTCTCGAAGACTGCGCTGGAGTGAAACAGAGCCAAGCTCAGACCGCGGCCTTTAAGCTGTGTGAGAGGGATTAAGGTGAAGGAACAAAACTGTCGGGATGACAGAGCTGCAATGAACGCTGGGTGAGAGAAGTGGGGCACCCCGACAAAGGAGTTTACACATCATCTGTTTAGAATTCAGAAGTGAGTGTGAAGG